TACTCTTATTACTGCAGACAATATCATGTAATGTTTTTATTATCTAGTTGACTGTTAATGTCTAATAATCTCTGAAATAACTATATAAGACACTAAGTCATATTCTCATCTATAACATATAGACACTCATTCATTAAACCTTTTATTCCTAGTATTACAAGATATACTGGGCCCTAAATCTAACACTGCTGATATTGTAGATAGTAAAAATATAACTATATATTGGTCATGCAATTTTTGTGATGCAGAGTTCTCTATTAGGGTGTTACATTCTCTCTAACACCCCACAAATCTATTCACTTTATTTAGAGAGCTAGAAGCAGCTACAAAGATAGCATAATATAAAATGCAGATGGAGGCTGCTTGATAGAGGGTGAAATATTAGCACAAAGCTTGCTAGATCTTATAAATGTATTTTACTAATACCTCTGCTTCTACATACCAAAGAAGAATAAGACTCAGTCTTTGAAATCCAAAATCAATAGGAAAAATACATTTTTGACTATAAGTAAAGAGCCTGACTTATAGTAGATAGAAATGTAGGTACAGCATAAGTTTAATGTAAGTATTAACTTTGTTAGGTCAGGCACAGCACATAGATAGAGGCTTATACAACCTTACACTTTGCTATGTGACAAAGTGCTTTGCTTTCCACTTTACTATATAATATAATATTTTGTTCTTCACTTTGTTTTCTCAAATATTCAAATGTCTCCTATGACTAATATATAGATATCTCTGTCAGCAAAGACTATAGCCAAGCTTATAGAGATGTTACCTAAAAGTTATTAGAGCTAACCCAGCATCTGATATTCTAGCTCATTTTTATAAATTTTTGATATATAACTCTGAATAGCCTGAACATGAGAACTAGCTTTCTTCTCCTGCTTTTACTATTCTCAAAAGTCAGAATGTTGAGTCACAAAGTGCAAAAAATTAGACTAGATGAAATCCATACCCCAGGACCAGTCTCATCCACCACATGTAAGTAACTAACTGTGCTGATAAGTAACTTCTCTTACTATCTTTTTCTAGCCTTCAAAAATACTATACAATAAATAAGATCTCTAAGTAAACACTTTTTAGATCAGCCACAGATGCTAAATAAGGCCTCTACTGCAGGAATAAAGAGAAAGTGAAACTTTTTGAGAATCTTTCTAGAAAAAAAAGCTCACATAAATAATAAGAAAGAGAAGCTTGGTCTATCTTTCTGAGATAGCTGAATAGTTGCTTTAATGATATTGTTCTGAAATTTTCTGACTTAGCAAGATGTGATAATTGACTATCAGTCTTTTCTTTCAAGTATGTTTTTTTTTGCATTTTTAACTAGTTTTATTAATAGAAATTTAAGCACTTATCATCTTTCTGCAAGAGATATAGATATTTGATATTCTCTGCTATTTGCTGACTACCTCACTTCTAGTAATCATCTAGCTATAAAAATCACATCTCATCAGTTTATTAACACTACATTCCCTCTGAGTATGAGTAATTTTGGAAGCTCTCCTATCAATGGAGAAAACTATTCATATTTGACTTCTCAGAAGTATATAAAGGCCACCAGCACTATTAGGGTTAGTGATCCATAAGACATTCAGCCTAAGATAAGATCTTAATTATGCTTTAATTTAGTACTGAGAGTTAAGTTTTGATATTAATAAATGAAGTGTTTGCTGGTGGTATTTGAAATGATAATCAGTATTTATATATCACTAAGAAATCTGTCTAGAAGTGAGTTTAATCATTAGTTATTTTTATATATTTGTTACAGCATTTCCAGCTAAGATATTGAGTTTGTAGACAGAAATAGGAGGTTCTTAGGCCTTCTGATCTCACAGGCCTCTCCTATCATTCATCTTCACATATTATGTATTTTAATCTTCACTTTTCTGGCTTCAAAGGGTCCCTTATCTTACATTCTGATTGTCATATCCCGGCATGTATAGATTTTTGGATGAATCATAGGAATAGCTAGGAGAAACACATGAATACAGGTTTCAATTCTTTGGCTCTACTCTAAAGTGCTAAATATTTGTATCTTACACATTCAAGCTCTGTTTTCTGAAATATATCATGCATATAAAACTGTATATTTTAAGGATTATTAGTAGGAATATGCAGCAGGATATTGAGTTTCTTACTTATACAACATGTTACAATAGAAGTACTGAAGCATAAAATATCAACTGCTCAATAATAAAAAATATTTAATAGATTCATGCATTTTGAGTAGCAGCAGTTCAAAGGTTAGCAGATGGTTGGGCACTTCAGGCAAAACACTAAATCACCCTACTGAAGGGCTTGCAAACTAACCCTGGAGTTGTTGAGACCTATTACTTGAAGGTGTGAAAGAGAATAACTATAATGATTAGAGATGATATGTGACTCTAAAAACAAAAGTCCATATATTGTGACTAGCTGCATTTCTCCTCTCTCCTATATTATAAGAGGGTCTAAATGACTTAGCTTCAACCACTACCAGCATGTCTTTGGAAAAGAATAGTTTTCATCTATTCATAAAACATAGAGTTAATGTTATTATTAATAAGTAATTTAATTGATGGTGATCAAAAGATATAGAGGTTGTAGAATACAAACCAACTCATATGTCAGTTGAGTATATGAGTTTTTTAGTGACATCTGTAATTATTTCAAGCAGCTTGTCCTTGCTGATAGCTCTAAGTGCTTAAAAATGCAAATTTACAAGAAGTAAAGAGGTTGTTGGAGAGATACATACATCAAGAAGTTAATAGAGTAAGCTGGGGGTAAGTAGGCATAGGCTAGAGTGTGTCTTATGGAAGCCCAGACAATCATGCTCAATTACTAAGCTAGAATTACTATATATGGTAGTCAGACCTCTAACATCATGGTTATGTATTTGTTTCTGTTGAACTAGTGCATACCTGATTCTCTAGAGAATACTTATTACATGATACAAACTATCTGTGACAAAATATACAAAATATACTTCAACAAGTTCTAGTACAATCAAGCAAACCATATACATGAAAAAACCATCAAAGTTCAAGCCTCAAATGCTTCAAGCACAAACCTCAGCCATCTGCAGAAGTCATTGCAAATGTGATGCTTCTCAAACTCACTAACTGCCTTGCTAATGTTCCCCTCCCAGAAGATATCATCATCATAACGCGCACGAAGGCGCGCGTGAGGCGCGCGTGAGTGATGCGAGGGCGCGCGAGATGCGAGGGGCGCGCGCATATGCGGAAGCGCACTTATGAGTGATAAGGGATGTGGTTTCAAGTATAGTAGAGGCGCGAGCTGTAGCAGATGGAGAAGTATAATCAGATTTCTAGTACTAAGGTGCACTATACAACTTGCAGTATACTGAGATACATGGGGGGAAAAGTAGTAACCGAAGTAAAAAGAACTTCCCTCTATTTAAGAAGGGAGATAGCGCTATGCGGTGCTTCCGAGCGCGGTACCAAACCGAGTAACCATATCAACTCTAAATATAATCTAAAGTCTAAGATAGACTTTCTGTATGTAAGCGCGGGGATCGGACCGAGTGCACGTCAATTCAGTGAAAGAGATAAGAATAACACACCAGTAAATCAGTGAGGACATAGGACAGACAGGTAGGCACGAGAAGACCTAAGGGGAGGCGCACGGACGCGTGCGGAAGCGCGCGAGTGCGTATAAGGTGCGCGAACGAGGCACGTACATAGGGCACGCACGCGGGAGCGCATATGACTGATCCTTCGGATAAGAGCTGGAATATATAAGGAATATGTGATTCATGGGGCCATATGTCCGGCATTGAGAGGCGCGAGTCTCTACAGCGGTCCATGTTATGAATAAACTTAGTAAAATCATGGCTCTCATCTCTGCATTCAATAACTTCCTCAAGGAGGAAAGCTGTATGTGTCGTGTCAGTCTTTGATGAAGGCTTGCCACTACCTAGAAAGAAAGATAGTGCAAGGCTAGCCTCAATGAAGTGTACATGTGAGATATTGAATGGTGGAGACTTGGATGTACTGACCATAGCACGATCAATGAAGCCGTTGGATTAGGGGTTCCAAGGGAGCAGAGATATGGATGAGGCAGCACTTAGGCTTAGTCAAGGTTCAGAGGCAGCATTTCAGGTTTAGTCAGGGTTCAGACAAAGCTTAGTTAGTGGTAGAGCACATATTTGGAGCAGGTCATAGTATCATCATCATTTTGCCACACATTGTCTTGAGTCACTTAGTCCAAGTTCATTGTAGTGAATAAAGCAAATTCAGCTCAACCCAAGTTCATTTCAGCAATTAGCATTAGCCTGCAGCCTCAGTCACAGCCCCGCTCCTAATTGACTAATTAGAAAACACAGAACCTTTGAAGCAGAAACATCAATAGCCTTTTCAGAAAGGTCTAAAGACAAAAGGCAGCTTAATTATGTTGTGTTACATCCAAAAGACCTAGCTAGATGGCAGGTGTTCCCAGAACACCTGCATACATCACAAAAAGGGCTGTGTCTCACTCCATCTATTTTATGTGGATTCCCATCAGAAACTGATGTCTAGTAGCTTAAGACTCAGAGCAAAATCAGGTCTTGCAATAACCAATGTTCATCAAAAGATTAACTGGTTGAACTGATCAACAGATGTATCCATAGAGTCTTCTCTCTTAGACACGCCAGAATGTTCTCTCAGCCCACCTTTATATCAGTCCTCAGAATAAAACTATAGCCAATTTTTTTGAAACTAAAGTCCCCAATCTAAACATCCCCATCCTAGACTTTGAGCTACTACTCTACATTCTGAAATAAAGACCCCATGAGGACACAGATCCTCTCACTCCACTCACCGAGTTAACAGACTATGATATTGACTGCTTCTTTAAGCTAGCAAAAACCAAAGCCATCATGCCAACAGAAACATTGCAAATCTTCCATGGCAATGATGCGCTTCAGAAAACCCAGCCAATTTTTTAAAGTTGTTCAACCGGGCTATGAGACAACAATCCATTATGACAAGCACAGACAAGTTAAATGCATTCGGCAACTACCTCAGTATGAGATCAGAAGCAGAAGTGTGGTTCAAAGCACTCCTTCTAGCGTTGCAGAAACCAGGATAGTCAATGTTCATGACAGAGTTCAAGTCACGATGGCCACCAATAGTCATAGCAGAGAAAACCAAAGCAGAGTATGAGAAAGAGGTCCACCCTTCAGGTGCTTTTTCAGGACATGGAGGGATAGCAAATTCGGCAGAGATATTATGCAACAGGAGCATGGAGTTTCCATCGCTGACATCACGATGCAATACCTGCCAACGTTCATAAGCATTGCAATGACCTGAGGTGAATGTTAGAAACGATAATTTTAAATCAGCAAAATTTTATGATACCGTGAAACATTTCTCATGCAGTTCCAAACCACAAAATGTCCACTCCACAAGTAGTAAAAGTAGTACGGGATCGATGTTGTTCTTCAAGTTGGCGATCTTTTGGAGATATGTTGACAATCTTGGCAAGTCTGCTGCCGGGATCATGGCAGCACAGATGGAAGTGACGGACATATGAGGAAGCGGAGATTTGCTGAACAGACCAATGGAAGGGTGCATGTGGTCTTCCATAATGGTAATTCCTTGGAGGGATTTCATATCGTCCCAATATAGATTGTGGACGCGGCAATAGACTCCATCCAGCTTCTCCGCACACTCTCTGTCTGAACGATCACCATGATCTTGCTCTTTGGAGGTCTTGAGAAGACCCACGTGCCTTTGCCATACAGACCTAACCGTAGGTGTCAAGAGAATGTAAGATTCGAATACGAATAACACACCGATAGATCGATGAAGGTTTCCAACTAGGGAAAATTCTTCATCTCCTGATTCGTCTTCGTCTTCATCCTCCAACCAATGTGGCTTGTCGTCCCAAATCTGAAGTGTGGCATGACAGAATATGTAAGTGTCGTATCCCAGCCATGAAAGTTCTGACTCCATAAAGTAGTTCATGACCTTAGAGAACAATTTTGGGTCTGCACCCACATTGAGAGGTAGGGAGTGAACACTTCCACCATGGGTGAATACAGACATGTGAAGTGCTGTTCCACACAAGCTGAGAGAAGGGAACCATTGACATTGTGGTTGGTGATGGAAGATGAAGGTTGCCTTATCACTGAGTTGGTCGAGTGCACTCCAAAAAAGCTTAGGCGAATCTTTCCACTTCACCTCCATAGCAGAAATAACTTGGGACCATTTGACCTTCTCCGAACTGTCAGTGATCAAGATGATATCGGGACTGCAAACACCTTCAACTAGGTCCCTGCTAAAGGCCTTCCACATGCGCTGGTTCCCAACGATGGTAGCACCCCTCGTTACAGAGCTTTTGAACTTGCGGCATAACTCCTTGACCTGAAAATCAAAATCAAAGGTAATGTGCTAAGTAGTAGTGCGAGTCGCTCACCTCATTGAAGAAATTGGAAAAAAGAACCTCATGGGACAGATAAAAAGGTGTGCCAGGCAGCTCCACCCAATGTTCGCGTTGCAATGGTGTCGGTGCTTTTGAAGGCCCTCCCCATTGATATGCTCCAGCAGGCATGGTCTTGAGAATTCCATCTACAATCCAGTTTTCTATCATCCTGTCGCGCCTTAAGGGTGAAAGGAAGCCATCCACCTTATCAATGAGACGATTATTGCTCCAGTGACGATTGCAAATCAAGAGTTGACCTATCTCTTCCTTCATGACTTCATCTACAAATTTATGCTTGAAGTGATGCTTCATGTCTGCTCCCCCAAAGGGAACCAATCTGCAGTTGACGAAAATTGTAGCAATATCTAGGGAACGGGCATTGGAACTTACCCTGGTGCGCAGGTTGTGCGGTATTGAAGGATGAAGCAAAATCCTTTGTTGTCCCTCATAACAGCTATCACTAGCGCCAGTGGCTGTGGGATTCTGCGCTTTCCTTTATGTAGTAAGTCATTTTAGCTGTAAGTCTGAATATACTCACCTTTGTCCAGTTCATATCTCGGTGGATGCCCTGGGACAAAGGAGTGGTGGGTGGCACGAGTTCACTTCAGGAAGGTCCCAAATTTCAGATGTGACATTGCAAAATATTGGTGCTGGGATGAACCAATACAATTTGTGTTTGGTGTTACTTGTGCCTGGCGCTTGTGCAAATCATTCGCATGTGCGCCCACCCGACTCCTGTGGGAATTTTCCCTCAAAAACCAACCGTCCACGCAATGGACTTCAACTTATCAGAGAAAGAGCTGTCCCTGGCTATATACGCCCTGCTTCAACTTAGAGAAAGGGATGCTCACCTTCTTGCCCTGCGCCTTCAACATGCTGTTGCAACAGACCTGGAACTTGATCAAGATGAAGGTAAGATCCGGTTGCTTAGCTAGCAGGAAGCACTCACCAATTTGAGTAGGTGAATCTTATGATCCTAGTGGAGAACAGGAATTCCAAACCCATCACTATCACTGTCTCACTCGCAGCATCGCCCACAGATCACGCCATCACCCTTATGTGGAGGGAGAGAATTTGGATGAAGGCCAGGAGGTTGGAGCTGGAATAGCTGAGCCGAGATCTAAACCCAAGAGGAAATGCAAATGTAATGGTGCAGCCCTACAAGCAGCCGTCAACTGGGAAATTGGTGAGAATATGGCCAAGACTTCCAATGCTTCCTGTGAGGCCATCATATCTGCCTTAGCAGTCGCCCATCCACAAGTCCTGCAGCAAGACATAGACACCTGGATCGCTAGTATCAAGGACGCTCTACTACCTGATACCTCGCCTGTCTGGCTGCCATTTTAAAACATTGTCAAGGCTTGGCGACTGGAGCCACACACATCACTTTCCTTTCAGTGGTGAGTCAAATCCAACTTGCTGTCAAGTGCCAGAGGTAAGCTTGAGCTTCAATGTCAATGGTGTATTCTCATTGTTATGTAGCATGATCTCACCCACCGGCATGAGAACACTTTGAAATGTGTACAATGAGGTAGTTGGGACACTCACTTTCCCCAGAGTCCCCACCCTGCGCACTTTCGTCGAATGGAACACATTTGGCAGCAAGTTTGCACTCCTTGCAGGGGGAGGGACGCTCTATATATTGCTCATCATCGCAGGGCTGGATCTTCGCTGGAGTGTGGCGAAAGCACATGGGAGAGTGCTCTGGGAAGTTGCCAAACTGCTGAGGGCGCCGGATGATAGCTGTGAGTTCATCATTTCTCATTCGCTTGATAGGTACTGAAATTTGCAATTGTTACATCCAGCATCTGGTGACTTAGTTTGCACCAACATCATATATATCATCAATTTGCTATATCAGAGCAAGGCTGCCATTCTCTTTAGAGAACTTATTTGCGCCTGAAGTGACACAGTTGTACAATCTGCCGGCGGTTCTTGACTGTACCTGTCTCAGTGATTCTGATGCATTCTTCCAATCTATCAAATTCAAGTGAGTTGTGTCTGTTTTGTGCTGCTTTTCAGTTGATAATATAATCATGCTTTAGCAACTATGTACTACCCTCAAGATCCCCATCATGGGAGAACCACGTCTTTATGGACGTCCAGAGCTCTTCTTCATCTCCCTAGGTGGTCCTGGAACTCGGAAATCGGTACAGTTGACCCAAATTTGGGTGGTCGGAACTTGGCGTCTCGTAGGGCAACACAAGCTTCACACCCCGGATTCCAAATTTTGCAAGACAACCTGTGCACCATCAAAGGCCATGTCAGGAGATCACCTGCTGCTCTGGGAACTTGGTAACTTTGATTTATTACCTCCTCTGATTTGGTTGATGTACAACTACCTCAGCTCCATCATGTCTACAATTATGATACACATGGGCCCACCCATCTATATTTTATACCACCCTCGGCCCACCCGTCTAATTAATATGCGTCTGGGCCTACCCATCTAATACAATATTTTATAATACCCTCGGCCCACCCGTCTAATTTAATATGTGTCTGGGCCCACCCATGAATGTGATAACAAGTACCTACCCATCTATCTCATACACATCTACCTTAATACACCCATCTGCATAATATCCAACTACCTCGGCCCACCTGTCTACCTAATATTCATGTACATCGGCCCACTCATCTACTCTATATATTCCCTGCATGGGCCCACCCACCTCCATCGGAAATAATTTCCCTCCTGGCCCATCTGTCATAGTCGAGGATATTTTTATCATGGGCCCATGGTCTGCTGGCCCGTATCATATGGGATATTATGCATGTCCGTTCCCTCGTATTATACGGAGATAGGTCACTGTAATATGTGTGGAAACATTGTTGGATGTAGGTCCAGAATGTGAGATATGACAGGTAGGTAGACCTTTTGGGAGCATCACCAGCATGCCATAGTCTGCAAGAAGGTCAAGGAGTGGTTGCGCTGCGTCTAGATAATGATTAGTGAATAAGTGTGTGTTATGGTCTTCATCCCATAATAAGTGATGTTTGTTAAAGTCCCCTAGCCAGATCATATGATTGTCTGCCGTGGGGCGCAGACATGCAGCTTCACAGTCAAGGAAGGATGCCAGCACATCCTGGGTCTTTGTGTGGACACAGTCATTGTAGATATTGAATACCATACAGCGACCGAAGGAGCCTTGGAATTGGATAACGACAACATCAGGTGAAGGGAAGAGTATCTATTGCCATGAGTTGGTGTTGAGGAACTTAGATACCAGTGTTACTGTACGTGATTTGGACTTTGGAGAGGAGAAGCAGGTGGACGGGTAGATAGCATGAAAGAAGGGGGAAGAGATTGTGTTTTTCATAGAATTCATGTGTGGCTCCTGGAGTGCTATAATGTCCCAGTCACGAGCGATTGGGCCATTTAGCAGGGAGTGTTGGGCAATGAGCGAGTTGTTGAGATTTTGCTGCCATATGCATAACTGAGTCATTGGTTTGTTCTGCTGTTCAAACATTACTGGGGGTAAGATCTGTGGAGTTGAGGGACTTGGGGAGGTGGGAAGGCTTGAGGAGGAAGCACTGACATTAGTGGGAGCAGGAGAGGTCGGTGTTAAGGTAGTTGGGCCAATGGAGGGAGTAGCCTTGGCAGTGGATAAGTCATGGCCTCCCCAGCCAATTGAAGATGGGATAGAGTTGGGATCCGACGGAGTGAAGCATGGGGTCCTTAGTATTAGAGATGCAACGGTGCACCTCTGGAGCGGTCATGGCTGCCTCTGGGAGGGCCTTGAGTGTTCCTGCCTGGTCATTGAGCATCAAAAGGGAGGTTAGTCTGTTGAAGGGCGTTGCCTGGGAGCATCTGTAGGGTGTTGTGGTGCTGGTTTTCAATAAGGTGCAGGTTTGGGGGGTAGTGATACTTGAGTCCAGTCATCATTGGTGGGGAAGAAAGGCATTAAGTTTTCTGGATGCTTGGTGTTGATGCCTGCGCATTGGTTTTCAAATTCCAGGCAGTTCCTGTCCCAGCTGGCATGGTTATGTGAGTTGCAACTGACACAATAGAGTGTTTTATATGCATGGCATTCGCTTGTGCGATGATTGTTACCGCACATGCCACATGTGTCCCAGTGTAGGGAATGATTCCTGGCTAGGCTTGCAGAGACTGTTTTACCTAGTAGTATGTTTGCACCTTAGCTTACATAAGAAAGTTATCTTTTCACCAGTTCCACTATGAGTCTAAGTTGTCAGCAAGTTTCTATCATATTTCCTCTTCCCTGAGCCTTGAGCCTTGTCCAGAAACCCTTTAGGGTCGAATAGCAGCTAGGTTTTGCAAGACCCAACACATTGTTCAGTATACACCATCTGAATTGTTGTACCCACACCAGGGTGCATTGCAATCCCTTGCGATATGGCCCCAGAGTTGACATTTGATGTGGCACACTGGCTCTTTCTTGTCATTTCAAGGGTGAAGTTTTTCTTTGTTGATATATATGCCATCCTGTAGTGCCATATTAGCTGCATTGGAGTCTGCAAAGTGAAAAATGGCATGAGCGACTGTCTGGTTAGGTGCTCTCCTCAGTTTTGGTTTGATCCAATGAGCTGATTCTATTGCTCCATTACTCAAGTCATTCTCTTCCTCTATGAGCCATAGCCAAACAGAGTCCTCTACATCAGAGGAGATTAGTAGGAATGGTATGATGATGGAAAATCGTCTTTCTTTGATTGATGTGGGTAGGTCGAGTGCTTCAATGATCTTGAGTCTGTTGTCCAGGATACAAACCCATTTAGCTGCGTCTACTGAGGTCAGTTACATGATGAGTCTGCCATTATGTAGTTGAATCGTGGCTTTTACATTGATAGTAGGTGAGCCTTTGGTTTGTATTGCTGAGAATGCCATCTTCATTTTGGTTGCAATGTCTGCCAGGCTGGCGTTGGGGGTGAATAGTGTTTTTCCTGGGGCCGGTTCAAATAGAATTTGGCATTCTCTTGTAGCAGCACAAATCAAAGCTGCCAAGATTGGGGCAGAAGGTGGAGCATGTTGTTGAACAATAGCACTGTAGGGTTTTGCTTCGCTGGGTGGGTTAGGGACTGGTAGGGTAGACAACTGATTAATACTGAGCTGGGTAGTGCTCAGAGATGGGGTTAGTAATTCAATTGCGTTTTTTTTTACGTTTGAGATACTGCTTAACACGGCATCCACTGCGTATTCTGTGAGCATTGCTGCTTCTGATGCTGCATTAGGGATGTTTTGGGAGTCTTCTAACATTAGTTTCATTTGAGCTAATTCTTCGGCTCTTATTTTGATTAATTCAGAGGCTGAGAGGACAGCTGCCACTTGGGGTGAGATTGCTGCAATAACATGGGCTGTGAGGGTGTTAGTCAGGGAGTCGAATTCCTGCTGCAAGATTTCATCTTTTTTGAGCAATAATAATACTATGTTGCAAGCAGACATTTGTGTTTTGGCTGGAGGGCCAGTAGGACCGACCAGTGGGTGTAGGAGTGAGGGTGTGAGAGACCATATTTCCTGAGCCTCATCCTTTCTCAGTCGCCATTGGTGCGGGAATTAGTGAAGGAGCATTGGGTTGCTGCTTTGGTGGGTATAGGTAGTTATCTTGGTAGGTAGATTAGATGGTGTCAATAAAGAAATGATTTTATAAGACAAAAAAGCCTTATGTCCAAATGTCTTGAGCGTGTCAAGGTAATAGCTAAGTATAAGCTGCAGGTTTTGGTTTGAGTGCCAGACCCTAATCCACATGATCAAACCTGAAAATGGCTTGATGCCAGTATGGAGGCCAAGATTGTACTTGAGCCATTTGTCATGTTGATCGACTGCAAATATGTTGTTCACACCTACAGCCCAAAATTGCTACCTTCGAAGATAATTGGCCTTACACTGCCAGACAAGTTCTGGCTCATGTATAGCAAAATAAGATATGACCCCACTCCTACACAGTATGGGAGTCTGTTAAGAACGTGCTCAAGGGTCGGATCCAAAGGGCTTGGCTTCAGCTCGTGCGCTGCGCCCCTAACTTCCGAAGGCTAATGGACGATGTCTGATGCACGGGAATTCCGGCGGACGTTCGGAAACAAGTGATAAGACTAGTCCGGACGATGTCCAAACTAGAAAGGAAACAGCGGAGGACTACCAGAGGTAGAGGCGGAGGTGACAAGTCTATAGGAGTCAATCCTAAGACTAGCGGAGGACAACGAGAGGAGAACTCAAGTCGGACGGAGGAGGGAATGAGCAGAGTCTAAGATAATATTCGAACTGAGGAACTACAGAGACTGTACAGGGTTTATATACTACTGAGGACATAACAGAGAAACAGTCAGTGCAGTGCGAGGCTATGCAAGGCTATGGAGAAACATATGGGACGACTATCACTAGTCTATCGGAACTTAGTAAAATGAAGACGGAAATGAATAAGGGATGGAAAATAAAGCATACTAACTGATAAGGGAAATACCAAAGGGAAAAGGCACAGAAGATAGGAGTTGACTGGATCTGGAAATCCGGAAGTCCGGAGATGATTGCGTGATTGGTCCGGGTCCGGAACGCAGGATATGACAGAGTCAGTGAATAGGTTCAATTTTTTTTAAAAGAAAAACATTACCTGGCTACACTCATGAAACAACAAGTTCACAATTTCATGTGCTCCTGCATTTAGATATGTTTCACACAGGTCTGCTATTGCATCATGGACAGTGTCGACCATATGGCCTTGCTGTCATGTTCAACGAAGGCCCATTGCATTGCAAATATCGAGGAACTTGGTGAGTGTTAAGACCCCGCACAAAGGGTGGGACTGATTCTGAGGGGCTTGGCTTCAGCTCGTGCGCTGCGCCCCTTACCCGAGTATGTGCCCTTAATTTCAGAATGATGTCCGAAGAAAGTCCAAGGACGTCCGAAGGACATCCAAAGCGCGGGAAAGTTCGGAAGGACTTTCCAGACGAGTGCAGGTAACTTCCGGATGAGTGCGGGAAAGTTCCGGAGGAACTTCCAGAAATTACAATGAGGTTTCGTCCTGATACGGATACGTGTAATGGCTACTTAGGACACGTCCTAAGTAGCAGCAAACAGAGGAAAGGCTGCAAGGACAAAGTCCGAAGCAGAATAGGTCCGGAGGACTGCGGGAAAGTTTCGGACGAATGTCCGGAAACTTCAGAGGATCGGATAAGTGGATGAGTGGAGGATCGGACAAGCGGAGCTCTGGCCTAGGGAATTTCTCCCTAGGCCTGAGATGGATATTGGCTAAGTCAGAAGACTAGAACTGATATGAGGACTTAGGGTGAGATCTAGTGCGAGGACTAATACGATATTCAGACTGAGGAACTACAGGACATATACAAGAGTTTATATACTAAGGAAATAACGGAAAGATCAGTAAGCAAGCGTCCGAGGCTATGTATGAAGCATAAGCAAAGTTATCAAGCGCGAGTCGGAAATGAAGCATAGGTTAACGGATCAGTAAGCATACTGGTAGTAAGTATAACCGAGATACCGAGGACAAGGAATACCGAATAGAGGAATAGGCTGTGTTAACGTTATATGCACAGGAATGAATTAGGAAGCTTATTGTATATCGGATCGGATCGGATCGGATCGGACTGGACCGGACGTCCGGATGAGATACGTGGATATATGGGATATGACATTAGGGTGATGGGACAAAGGATGACTGATGCAGGCTAGGTGAGGTATGGAGGTAAAGGGATGTAGATGTGGATGTACAGGGGTGCAGGGATCCGGATGAATAGAGGACTGGAGACATGGATAGGGCGTCCAAAGGTCTGGATGAGGTGTGGGAATATTGTCGGATGTAGGTCCGGAATACAGGATATGACAGTGAGCCTAAATACAATCTTTGTAAGACTATAACTATGGGCCACCTGAACATTGATACATCTTCTGATAGTATCATTAGGATAGGCAGATTCAAAATAGCCCATAAAGGACAACTCACACAGACACTTTCTGCTAGCTTAGATCTTGGATCAGAGACACTTCACATTGTAGTTGTAAAACATCCATTCTACAGGGTGCATCCACCAGGCATGCCTGCTACTAGTATGAATTTCAGAATCAGATGCTTCATACTTATAGATGAGATGCTGAGGCTATTTAGAGAGGCGAATGTTTTATATTGGGCAAAGGCCTTATTAGGTCTTGTATACGGTGAACTAGGACTAAGTGACTTAAGGCAATGTGTGGCAGAATGATGATGATAACACTATGACCTGCTCCGAACATATGCTCTACCACTGACTAAGCTTTGTCTAAACCCTGACTAGTCCTGAAATGCTGCCTCTGAACCTTGACTAAGCCTAAGTGCTGCCTCATCCATGTCTCTGCTCCCTTGGGACCCCTAGTCCATGGGCCTCCCTTAAAAAAACCGGCGCCATCCTCATCGCTGCTACTTTCACTCCTTGACTCTGTCAACTGCTCTTCTTTATTCACATTCTTGTCTTTGTCATCCTCTTCTTTGTCTGTGTCTTCATCTGCTCTCTCTTGTATGCTTGCACCCTTCTGGAGTTCCTTTTCATGTTCTCACTGGTTTGCTGTGAGTTGAGTGCTGTCATGTGGGGTGAATAAGTGTAGACATCTGGCGCTGAACTCTCCCAGTAGGGGATTGCCTTTGAGGGTGTTGAGTTTGTAAGAATTTAATATTCTCAACTGGACTCTGTGAGGGATTAACCATTTTGGAACAAGCTTGTGTTCTGCCTTGAACGTGTAATCTAAATCATTGTGGTAGGTAGCGTGTTGACTACTAGACCTATTAGGAGCTCTTTGGGAGAGAATTTTAGTGCTGGGAATAGATGGTAGTTTAGGGAGTGGACTGCATTGTCTAAGTGCTCTGGCCAAGAGTTTGGGAGTCTTTCCCATGATGTGGGTTGTGTATTGTCCTCCTCCAGGTCTGGTATGCATAAGCGCTTCAAGATGTACAACAAGAGCTTGCTGGTTCCTTCCACTAGTTCATTTACCCACAGTGAATATGCTGCAACAATATGTAATTTACATACTCTAGATGTGCAAAAATCTCTCACCGCATCATTATTGAAGTGTTTTCTGCCATCTGCCATGAATGTCTCTGGTGCTACAAATGTATTGGAGATGGATGTGAGACTATTGATGGTAGTCTTAGCACTCCTGGCTGTTTTGTATTTGAACACCCAGACATGTTGTGAGAATGTATCTAGGTAAATGCTGAGCATGCTGTATCCACCATTTCCTTTGGACAGGGTAAGATAGTCACTAGCAGTTCAAAGGGGTGACATCTGGTGATGGGGTCTAACAGTGAGTGTAGGTGCATAGGGCCGAAATTTTTACACGTAGCACAGTTTTTAATGACCGTTAGGATTGACACATCAAGCTTTGGGCTGCAGATTCTGTCCAAGAGTGCAATCTTGATTGTATCGTGGCCCCAATGGCCACCTTCCGTGTGGACTCTGGCTACTAGTTCCTCAGCTTCCTCTTTGGTTATGCACTCCACTTTGGCTCTTGCTTGAGTTGTCATGCTCCCCTTAAGTCTCCAGAGCTTTCCATTTTCTATGATGTACTGGGAGGCTCTGTGGCATGCTCTCTTCTTCTCTTGAAGGTCTTTGTCTCTGTCGAGGTTGAAGATGACCTCTATCACCTCTTGGAATATGGGCTTGTTTGCAAAGTGTGCTTGGAGTTTTTCAGCTATGGTATTAGCTTCCACAATGTGCATTATGTCGTTTGTGAGTTCTGTGCGTGCTTCCCAGTTCTCACTTACTGTCCACTCGCTTCCATCTCCAGGTGTTGGTGCTATATCTTCCTATTTGCAACTAAGACTGTCTGCTATGATGTTTAACTTCCCGGTACATGCTGTATATCTACAATATTGTAGGCCAATATACTTTCTTACCAATGTGCATGTGCTGCATCTAGGCTTGAGTTGAGTAACGTATCCTTTAAAGTGTTACAGTCAGTTTCAATCACTACTAGGAATCCACATACAATGCTCGAGAACTTATCCAGCCCAAATTTGAGTGCTGCAAATTCAAGTAAGTACAATTTATATTTTTTCTCTGTTGTGGATGTTTTCTTTGATGCGAAGGTGATGGGGTGCATTCATTCACTCCATTTTCCCATTGGTGACTCTGTTCGAACCCATTGGAATAGAACTGCTGCGAATCCCTCAATGCACCCATCCAAAGTTACCACGAATGGTGAGCTGTCATAATGTGGAGCTTGTAGTATTGATCTTAAGGTGATTGCAGTTTTAAGATCTAAAAAGGTGTGAGTCTGCTCCTCTTTCCAATATGGTGCTAACTTGAAGCTGGACATTGTTCTTTGATACACTATTTTGTTCTGTAAGCTATCGAGTGGGACATTTAGAAGGAGATCTCAAAGCAGCCCCTAGCATTTCGCATATGCCTGTATAAGAGTTCTGTAGAAGCCTGTAAGCCCTAGAAAAGAAACTAGACTTAGCACATTGTCCGGTTGTGGCCAGTCAATGATTACTGTGAGCTTAGTTAAGTCTGGTTTGGCATCATCTTGTCCTAATGTTCCTTCTGCAAATTCTGTCTCTGAGATCCAGAAGCATGTTTTACTCGGAGCTATTGAGAATTTGCATTCTCTGAACTTAGTGAATATAGCTTTTAACTTGACCATCATTTCCTGAAATGTGTTAGCTGCATATGCTCCATCATCCATAAAGAGTTCCATATAATAAGAAACGAGGAATTCATATAATCTTTCTGCTAGAGTGTCACAGAATATTGTAGGTGCTCTTGTGATACCCATTGACATGCACTTGTACCAGAAATACCCTCAGCCTTTGATGTAGAAGGCCAGGTAGAGACACCATTATTCTGGGACTCTAATTGCATAAAACCCAGAGGCAAAGTCAAATACAGAAAGGTAATGGTGGCCACTGAGGTGTTGTTGCTTGGCGAGGATGTTGCTTTGTGGCATTGGGGCTATTTTCATGACTTTATTAAGTTGGGCAAACTTTTGACATATTCACCACTTCCTTGGTTTCACATTAGTAGGTCGCCCAATAGTTCCACTGTTGAGTTTGAGGTATCTGCTGATGTTGTGACATTGATTGACTCTGGTGCTATCAATAAGTTCTGCTGTGGTTCCTCCTTCCCTTTGTCTGTCTCCCATTATTCCATCGAACTAATTAAAGCACTCTCTACCCTCTTCCACATCTGCTTTAAGCATTTCTGATCTTGGCATTTAAAGTTGAGTATTGGAGGTCTCTATTGACCGATTGGCATTTCTGATAGTTTTGCAGTTGGGACGTGCAATTTCTTAGGTATGTAGTCAGTTTTCTTTGATGTGAAGTTCTGGGGCGGCATTGGTGAGACTTGCCTCGAGGGGGGTGATTGTATAGTGCCCTCCTTTTCTATTTCTTGTTGCTTGATATCCATCGTTAAGCTGATATCTTCCTCCATTTGGTTTAATGTGCTTGGAGACAGTATTGCATTCTGTAGTACTGTTGATTGTACTGCGTCTAATACCATAATTGAGTTTGTGGTGTAGTCATGGATGGCATTGAATGCTATCAGTGTCGGTTTGCCAAATAAGAAAGCCCATCCTCCTGCGCTATCAAAGACCTCAAATTGTCCTTTTGCATAGACACCATTGAGTTTGATCATTCCTGACCACCTGGCTTCGGAGTTGATTATTGTTCTGTTGGCCATGCAAAGTCATTTTGAGAATGGGTGGATGTTGTCTAGCTTGTGTTTGACTTTTGTGAATATTGATGAGCACACTGTGGCCACCATAGCGCTGTTATCAAATAGTGCTCGAACCTGAACCAATTTCTCTTTTGGTCCTTCTAACTTGATTTGATGTAGGAATGGAATGGCCTCTCCTGTTTTCACTTAAGCTTTGTTGAGTAAAACATGTCCTACTGCGTACAGGTCAATAATGCTTACTGTGCTTTTAGCAGATAGTACAGGTACACTAGTAGGTATAGGCAAAGGTGCAAGAAGGAATTGGGAGCTTGGTTCCATCATTTTGTCCTCACATGATGCCTCCATGCATACAAGGACCTTCTCTCCATCTCAGGTTTCTATCCTGCTTTGGGTTGGCATGATACACTTTTCTACACCGACTCATTCTCTTTTCCCTCCTCTTCTTCTACTTTTATGAAAGATGTTGTAAGGTCATATACTAATGAAATTTGGACCGCTGTTGCTTGATTGACTGCGCCTAGGCACTTGTGAGTAAGTGCTCTCCAAACAGACTCCTTCCTGGGTAGCCTTGTGAGGTTGTCCGTTGGTAGCACACAGTTCTTGCTGCTGTGCCTATGGGTTTTGCAGCTAAAGCATTCACCTGAGCATATTGCTGCAGTGCCTAGCTTTACTGGGTGGCCTAACTCTGGCATAACATGGGTGTTCTCTCCCCACCTCATGTTCCACTGGCTCATCTGGGTGGAGTAGGCTGCTCGTCTGATGTTTGTGTCTGGGTGATGTGTAAGGTTGGAGATTGCTTGTTGTACGGCTGTTCTGATGTCTTCTGTGATGGCTAATGGTTGCTGAGGTTAAGCTGGTTGGCAACTATACATTGAGCTTGTTGTGCTGGGGCTCTGGTGTAGGTGGATGAGTTTAAGGTTACTTGGGTTCCTTGCTCCGTGTTGACCGACATTTGAGTGAATTGGTTCTGAAGGGAAGTGACAGGGTTTGGGGTTGGGGTACACTGTTGAATCCGAGCTAGATCTGTGCGCAATAGTGCAACTTCCTATTCTCACTTCATATGCTGGTTCTTCTTTTCCAAAAGTCTAGTACTTTTCAAGTCCGTGACTTTCTTTGTAAATGCTGCCCCAGTCCTTATATTCTTTGTCTATCAGTAAGTCCTTGATGATGCTTGGCAAGTGTCTGTGTACTTGCCAAATTATCAAAGTGCTTGATGCTATACCCACGCTTGTTGCAAGTTGGAGCGCTTTGGCTGTCCACACTACATGTGTCCAGCACTTTTTGTCATAGATAGTGGTCTTAGTTCTGACTACTGCATCTGGTAACGGGTGCTCTAGTAGCTCTACGAGGGATGGGATAACGCCTGATTGGGGATCTGCTGCAGACTGTACAGATCTTGTGAGAGAGGAGCATCTGCCACGCACGATAAGTCACTTTCTGACCTTTGATCTCAATCCTGATATGACAGACAGGGGACACTTCCCTTTGAGTCCAACCAATCGATCATTGGGGGACCCGTAGAGTTCCATCATGACCTACAGTCTTACTTCTGGTTGGCCTACCTCATTACCTGCAACTGTGCAGGTCCATTCAACATGTGTCGTGACTGGGACGGGGAAATGAAGCTTTTTAACCTGTCCAAATCTATCAAACCTTCGGACATCCAACACATGGCTGAGATCAAGACTTACAGAAAGGTTTTGGACTCCAACCGTGCTTCTCTTCTCCCCTCAGCATCTTCTGAAAGACCCTTCACGCCCCCGTACTTATTGTGGGTCTGTCCAGGAGTCTACACACTTCCACCCTTAGAGATCGTCCAGCAGAGGTGTGGTATGACCTCCATCAACTTCACCAACCTCATGACACCGTACTTTGCACGACATCAAGTTATTCAACAGGGGATGCTTGAGTTGTGGGACCTTTTCTTGGGCCATGATGAAAAGGACTTTGATGGCTATGGACACCGTGTAGACCCTCAACCAGTCACACATGAAAACATGCTTTTGGTACTGCATCGCATCCGCAATGGAATCAACCCTGCCCTCGATCCCTACCCCAAAGATGGGGAACTTAAAGAGGCTCATGTTCGTTATCAGCGCTATCTTGAAACAGGTAATCATATACCCTTACTTGTAGATGATGATGGTGATGAAGAGCGTGCGGGAAGTAAGAGAAAGGCTGCTAAGATGCACTCTGATGCCTTACACATTGAGGGATCCACCAAGTGTGCGAGGGGACCAAGAGCCAGTGAAGCAGGGCTTGGTGTGCCACAGGCTGGGGGATCTGGAACGCGGGGGGGCAAAAAGGCTAGATCCAAAGCTAAGGCAAGTGCTTAGCCTCTCATTTTTTGTATCGTGATTCTGTATTTTCATCACTTGGCCAACTACCTATATTTTTATCTCAATACCCGGATACCACCTTGTTGTTTGTTGTCTCTTACTAGCTGTACAGCAGTTATCTCTACAGTTTTTCTGATCAAACACTGTCTCTCAATACCATTTGTACTTCAATTGAATGACTTTCATCATTTGCTCCATATGTTACATAAGTCAATGTAAGATGGCTGGTGCAAGGCATATGTCATTGATTCGTACTTGCCCAATCTGAATCTCATCCCAGACATCTCACTCTATCAAAGCATCATGGTAGGCTTACACTCTGCTCTTCAAGCATTCAGCAGCCATAATTTCATAGAGGCTGAAGGCAGTGATCCAAAAATTGTCCAGCATGCGAGAAGATATTTAAGACTCCAAGTGGAATGTCCTCTCACCTTAGTACAGCACAAAGTTGCAAGTGGTATAAAAAGAGGAAACTAAAGGGGCTTGCTATCCCAGGACAGTTCCAGGAGCAGATGGTATCCGAAGAAGTGGATGAACCTTTACCCGCTGACCTACTCAGGAAAAAGAGAACCAGAACCCGCCTCAATCATGGAAGACTACCAGGATATGCTCTATGAGCTCTTACCTTTCCCTGAAACCGGGGATCTGGAGACTGAAACTCAGGCTGGACCTTCTCATGGCTATCGGACAACAGTGGAGGATGCTGAGGAAGATGACGAGCTGAGGAATGAGGTTGATGAAAGAGTTAAGGAAGAGAATACAACTGCCGGAGCGTCTATCAGATTGGTGGAAACACTTCATGAGTGCTGGAGGAGGAACTTTGGACCAGAGAAAGATAGGAATGGAGACATCAACATGTTGGACATCTCTTCTGAACTTGAAGCTGAAGATGGTAAATTCGCTCCATTCAATTCAGAGTTGGACTGGAGAATAGCAAGATGGGTGATTCAAGATGGAATTGGGCATAAATCTTTTGATAGGCTCATGGTCATACCAGGGGTGAGTACCAGTATTTATATCTGAGGTGAGATCATAGCCTTGACTTGATTCAAATATGGTTAGGTTGTCGATAAGCTTGGGCTCTCTTTCCATAATATCAGGGAACTTCACCAGGTAGTAGATGGTGTTCCTCCTCGGGCTCAATGGAAGACTCGCCAACTATGGTACAGAAGCAATCCTGAAGACAAGCACACTATCTACTATAGGAATCCCTGCGAAGTCACACAAAGCCTGCTAGGCAACCCTGCGTTCGCCAACGAAGCACCTTCTCGGAGATCTGTGGCGACATGGATATCAATGGGGTTGGCTATTGAGGAGGCTCAAATTGCATTGCTCATCGAGGTCCGAAGAATTGGAAGAAGAACTACGGAGACACAGAGATTAGACATTGCCTGGAAATGTGATCGTCTCCAAGGCCAGATAGATGGATTTACTCAGTCTGCTCTCATGCATCTCGGAGAGGGATTTGATGCAGATGATGATCCTGACAACTTGAACATAGACATTCTCGATGATCTCGATGATGACCCGGAAGATTTCACCAGGACATCTGATGATACATGGACAAACTCCCCCCAGCTCACTGTCATTCCATTGCCATCAAGCCTTGGGGTAGATCGATGCAGACGCTTTATGGCAGAGGATCTCATTCCGCTGGTGATGTCACTTTGTGAAGGGCAGGCAAATGATGCCCTTCACAACCTCCGAATTCACTTGTGCAACAAGGCGATCCTGTTCCGAACAACAGTTAGGCAAGCCAAATCTCAAGCCCTAAAAACTCGAGCTTGGTCTCAGGTGACGTCAGTGCAGCAGGCGGTGTCCCTCCATGCCAGTATATATATATACCAAGACCCAGAAGCAAATGATGAAACTTGAGCCTGGGCAAGACCAGCTTCAGAAATACAAACCCCTGCTGCATGATCAGAAAATCAGCACTGCCGTCGGAGATCCAAATGCCCGAGGTCAGCGAAACGAGTCCCTCACTTGGTTCTGGTCTGTCAAAGTAGAGTTGGGGGGTCCTGATCAATTGTGGAATGAGGAATGTGAGTTCGAGCATGCTCGACACATGTGACATTGAGCTGACCGGACCCATCTCAAGTTTACCGAGTTCCTTGGCTTCGGGCAAAGGCACTACAGGACTGATGGAAGGAAGAAATGATATTGGTCCAATTGGAGATGGATTGAACATGCAACTTTTTTATGTGGAAAGCAACACAGTGGGGTGACAAAATGCAGGAATCATTAGTGAAACACCTTCCGGGTCATGCATCTTACTCGGGAAGGCAATCCAGAATGTATTCATTACTGGCGCAGGATGAGACTGTGTTGATAGATGCTTTAGATGAATGAATTTTTTTGTTCTGATGATATGAAACACCTATTTCAACCCACAAATGTAGTCTCGGGAATTGGCCAGGTCAGCCCATGTCAGAGTTTGAAAAATTTATCCATCCATCTATGGTGGGCCAAATGGACAATAATTAAATCACATGCATGCGCAGTTTTCACGCGCACACACAAAAATTGCATGCACACAAGCAGGAAAAGATTGCATGAAGGTAACATTGTATAAATTTTGACAGAGTCAAAGATAGCTATTAGTTGTATGTATACGAGTCCAAGTGAAATTGATTACGAGGTTATTGTAAACTGAGGAAAATGAATGAAAATTGACCATTGATCTATTTCCTGTCCCAAGGGTTGTGCTTTGGTTTGACAAGCATGTTAAATCCTGAACAGGATGACGAGAATCGCAGGGTGCTGCGAAATGCCTGTGGCTGACCTCGTGGAAGGCCGGAAATTTTCACTTATTTTTGGCGGACCTTTCTATTTCTTAATGCATAGTCTCCCCTAGAGCATAAATCCCATCATCAGGCCTTCCAATGCCTGTGATCTTCATCACTGAAGGTGAGTACATGCTGCTCATTATCTGCTGTCTTTGCTGATCATTTCATTACTATCAAGTGGGTGAACTTCCACACATTCTACTGCTCGTAGGATGGCTCTAGTGTGATCTCCGTCACTTCAGGTGGGTACAAGGTGCCTATTGTTAACTGCCGACCTCGCTAATTGCCACACAAAAGGGAGAAACATACAAGACAATACAATCTTGTCAGTGCATTCAGAGTCGTGCGTCTGGTGAGGATTTTAATGCTGATTTTGTTGCGAAAGTCTTACTACAACACGCCGATCACAGCAAATGCCTGCCTCAATATATCAAAAACAAAGTATGTACACCGTTATTCGCCCCCACATCGCCCACACACTACGCCTCCCCGTTCTCACTGTCGATGTCAGTGTGCTGTGTGTCTTCATCGTCTATGACCTCCTTACTTTTCACGCCTTGGCTTTTTGCACTGGTGGCCTTGGTGCAGCGCTTTCGGGGTTTATACACCTTCTCACCGCGAGCCTGGCGCTCAATATTTTTCTTCACATGTTCAGTGAGTTCAGTATCAGTGAGTTTGACCCACTCGCAACTGCCATCCATTAGGCTATCGAGGAGTCGAACAAGATCCTCCCGGCGTCCAACCTTGCCAGGATTCACCATGGTTCCAAGTGGAAAAATATTGAGGGCGATGCTGTAAGTTTCCACGATCTTCCGTTCATAGTTTTCGTAATTCATTATAACCCTTTTCTCTGGCGCAGGATTCAGTGTTGCGGTGATGATGTCTAATAACTCATGGTCAGTACTAGCTTGCAAAATATGATTACAGAACTGACCAAGTCCATCCTGAATATTTCGGTGGCACATACTCACAAGTTTTGTCATTGTGAGCCGTTTGCTCACAGTGCCAGCACTGTCTATATTTAACATCGGTATGTCATCATTTGTTTAATGGCTTTGTAATATTTGCTTACCGAAATCGCTGACAACCCAGGACTCCAGTTTAAGCGCAAAGCGTTTTGGCTCCATGCCAAGGACATCCTTAATAAATGATGCGACTTTGGAGGTGTAGAAGAGCTTTGGTTCGTGGTACTGTTCGACATCACCTCAGACAGCAAGATACATCCCTTCAAAACCTGTTCGAACTTGAGGTTGTTTGGCAGCATCTAGTCTTATCAAAAGTGTAATTGTGGTGTCATTGCCTTTTGACCACTTTTATATAAGACACCTCAAGTAAGAGACAATGTTCAAAACAGTCCAAGGACTGCTGAACTTTGAACTGAACACCCGGTTTGGTTCTCCCCAGCCATCAAACGTCAGACTGGACCGCGGTTCAGTCCACTAAAAATCCAGTTCGAACTGCGGTCCAGGACTGAACTTTTACATCACTACTGCCAAGACTCACCAAAATAAATGAATTGATCTGACCACTTCCGGCCAGCAGGATGGTGAGTCTTCAATACCTCGTTTCCTGTAAGTCCCTCTTGACTACTCTTTACCATATTCTTGCCACTTTTGACAATCAAATACCAGTAAAACCCATCTTCACTCATCGAGTTCAAGTTGGCAACATTGTGATTCTCAAGAAAATCAAAAAGACAAGGGAAGAGGGCATGTAGGTATTCATCAATATCGCTCTTTGTCATGCTTGGTGCAATCTGTAGATCCTTGCTGTCAGTTCCCTTGGATACAGCAAGCTTGAATGTTTGGAGCTCTTCAATCTTTGTTGTGTCAGGTGCGATCTTCCGTTTCATGCAACCCTTTCTATTCTGACCAAAAATATGTGATTTCAATGCCAGTATTATACCGTGAGGTACTCACAGGTCCAACAGTCACCATTACAATAGATCCAATACCTGTCTTTCGAAGGTTCGCAGCAGTCGTCTTCTATACGTGAAATTTGATCAATGAGTTGCAGTATTGATATTCTAGGAAGCCTTATTACCTTAGTAGCATCTTTACTACTACCAGAATGCCCTCTGACTTTTGCCATGCGACTCGTTGAAGCCAACAAGGCTATGTCCTGCTTTTGGAAACCTGAATTTGTCTCGTGACAGGCAACATCTTCGCAAGCACCTCTTTTTGACAGTAGGTGAGAGTATTTGGATATAATGGAACCAAAGCTGGAAGACATTGATGGCGGCTGTTGCAGAACGGCTTCCTGTGGATGTGCTGTGTTGTAATGACCACAGTTTATACATATCACAGGCTCATCATCCTTCTGGTCCTTCCTTATCATCAGGCGGAGGCATGGACACTGGGAGCCGTCACTAGTTTTTCCTCAACATGTTTCATCTATAGTTGGCAGAGGCATAGTACTGATGATGGTAAGTAACAAGGTGTTTTTGTGTCGAAATTGGCATTAATCTAATTTGTCCAGGCCACTTTATTTCATACAGATGAGATGTTCCATAGCACTATCATAATTCTAGCAAGTAATGTAACACCAAAAGACCTTGTGCCCATTCAAGAGCTCGTGGCATCCATATTTCAGGTGGAAGGTACATGACTAATGACTTTGTCCTTCGAAAGCCGACAGAAAGTCTGATATGAAAACCTCTCTACTGACCAGTGGAGATTGGTTTTGTGTTGTAGGAGCCTACCTCTACCCAAAGATGTTCCATTCTGGTGTTATGTGTTGAGCTATGTGAACATAAGAATCACCACTGAATCAGCTTTTAAAAATGTGCAGCTCACGATCCCCATAAGAATGTGTTAAGATGGGAGTGAAGTGGGCCGCTTCTAGAGGCTACTGAGAGACCAGAAGAGATCAGACTAGAGTCCAGAGTAAGTTGCCAATCTATTGAATGGTGTAGTAAAGTTGTACAGTACCTAGAGTCCAGAGTAAGTTGCCAAAGAGGCAGGGAGCACTGGACTCTGGGATATGGGCGACATATGGTAAACAAATGTAAACAGACAACCCACAATGAAATAATAACTCGACCTAGGGACGTCCTAGGGAGGTCAGGAAGTCATGTCAATGGTAAGTAAAGTGTCAGGAATAATGCTATGAGTATGAAGGCACAATAAGACACATAAAAGACATAGAAATGCGTACTGTAGAGGTGAATGATCATATAACTAACACGACGGCCTTCTGACATGATGTGTAGCCTGGCCAAGACTTGGAAAATACTGAGTTTGTGTGACACAAACCATCAACACCTCAACATCATATGCTTCAAGATTTTTTTTTTCATTTCAAGGCTTTGTCGAGACTCGACACCAGAATGAGTTCTGTAGTGTTTGGCACACAAAGGTAAATGCAACATCACTTCCTCCGTATGGAACATTGTGCTGATTACTATGACAATATCAGTAGGTTGAACATTCCACAACATTCAGCAGCCCATTACTACAGCAGTGAATTTGTTGTTTTACAGGTATGTTATACTATATGTTCTATTGTTGAATCATACTCTCACTGCTGCTAGGTTCAGTCACAGCTCTATCATGTTCCAATCGACCTTCTTGCAAGACAGTCTCATGTGTTTGCAAATCTATTTTCATTGCCTCGCACTGGTGTCCATCAAAATGAGGGCTATTCAGATGAAGCCCCAATTGTACTGCACGGACATTCTAGTGCTGACTTTGATTGTCTTCTCGATCACATTTTTGGAAGGTATGTTGTTTCGAAGTGGCAGCTACTAAGAGCCAGTTCGGCAATGAGATGTTGACCGAGGTTTGGCAAATGTCAGGTGAGGCTTCTCGGCTTGAAGCGTCCCAGACGTCGGAGCTCAAATTATAGCTGTATTCGTCCAACCCTAATGCCAGCTGTTATCGATACGCTATACACATCGTCCTTGATTTATGTCCTACAGCAATGAGTGTTCAATCGCGACTCCCACCTTATGTGCCCCAACGCCCAGAAACTCGATGTCACCTTGTCCAATATTCGATTCTTCTTGTTAGTATTCTGATCAGCGCTACAGCCAATATATTAGAGTCCGTGTATGCAAAGGATCCAGAGCCCTATCACACGTCTGCCCTCTCCGGCGAAGCCTGGGTTATGGAGCTATTGTCTGGTCATCCAGAACGAATTCGGTGCGAACTTGGTGTGCATGCACACGTCTTTGCAGAGCTCATCTCTGAGATTCGTGCCCTTGGACACACTGCCTCCAAGTTTGTATCGCTAGAAGAGCAGCTTGTGATTTTCCTGTAAACATCTGTTACAGGTTTGTCCCTCAGACACGTTGGCGAAAGATTTCAACGCTCGAATGATACGATTTCCTGGTAAGTACTATGCGCTAACAGTTTTTATATTGTCTCATGTTCTATGTAGTTACTTTCGCAAGATGCTCAACATCTTCTCGTTGTCCCCCTTCTATACAAAATATGTCCAGTTACCAGATGCCTCCGTTCCCAACAAAATCTGCCATAACCTGAAGTTCTGGCCGTTTTTTAAAGATACCATTGGCGCCATCGACGGAAGCCACATTCACGCATCGCCTTGCGCATTCGAATGAGGTCCCTATCGTAATCGAAAGGGATTCGTTTCGCAAAACTGCTTGTTTGCATGCGATTTCAACCTCAACTTCATATACGCCCTCACTGGCTGGGAGGGGTCAGCTACAGACGCGCGTATCTACGAGGCTGCAGAGGGCCATGACCTTTGCATTCCTGTAGGGAGATATTTCCTTGCAGATGCAGGTTTCCCTCTGCGGCCTGAACTACTCATTCCCTACCGTAATGTGCGCTACCACCTTGCAGAATGGGGTCGTGCAAGTGTAAGGCGAGTTGTACCAGCCTTTTTCTTTGTGTTATGTGCTAATTTTTAACAGGCCAACTACGAAACAAGAGCTGTTCAATCTACGTCACGCATCCGCTCGAAACGTCATCGAGCGGATATTCGGTGTCCTCAAACGACGCTTCCGGATCCTCCTGCTGTCCCCACCATACGCTATGGGCGTACAAGCTCAGATCCCAGCTGCGTTGTGCAGCGTCCATAATTTTATCCGCTTACATGATCCTGCAGAAGGCAACCTGCCTGATGCGGACCACCCCATTGGCGATGCGCACACCGCAAACTGGGAGCAGGAGCCAGCAGAGAATCATCCGGCTAGACACGACGACGTCCATTTGATGCATGATCGCATTGCCGAAGCGATGTGGGTGGATTATCAGCGCATTTTGCAGGAGAGAGGAGATGATAACGACGATCTATCAGAAGGTATTGCAGAGGAGGATGAGGACGGACTGGACTAGTACTAGTATGCACTTGTACTTTACAATGTTATATATCAGCAGCAGCAACCACAACCATCTACTCCTGATCCGCTCCCGGTCCTGCAAGTTCCTTCTCACTCTCATACTCACGCTCAATCGCACCTATACATCGTTCCTGGTCCCGCAAGTTCCTTCTCACTCTCATACTCACACTCAATCGCACCCGCGTACTCATCATGATGTCATATAGGATGTACAATACAGATACTACATGTTGATACGAAAATGTAATGAGAAGTGATACAAATGGTATGGTAGTTCTATGTAGACACGAGGAGCCCAGAGATAAACGCGCGGCGCATCTCAAAGTCATCCTCCAGCTCGACATAAGCGGCAAGATTGTTCTCCCCTCCTGCACGGGTAAATATCCGCAGGAGGGTGGCTCTCTGTTCAACTCCCAGATCCGCATCTGTGCTGCGCATGATTGCGAGACCGCGGGAGATCATGGTGGGTGGAGCAGGAGGAGGAGGAGGAGGAGGTGGTGGTGGTGGCACCATTTCAAGCGGATGGGCCAAGCTCTTTTCAATAGCGTCAGTGAGGCGATTGATACTACCTTGCATGTTCATGACGGCAGCTGCTGGAGTTATCTTCGCAGCGACTCTGGCAGCACTGCTCGTCCCCATATGTGTGCTGCCATGTGCCGACACTCGAGCCTTCTTGAAGACCTGAGTGGAGGGCACCAATGTCGTTGAAAGCGGGAGAGTTGACGACTGGGGAGTAGCGGGATGGGTAGATATGGGGACGCCACTGGAAGGGAGAGACGATGTCTCCACGGAGTCGAGTAGAGTGTTGGTGCGCAGGCGTTTACTGGACTGGGAGCCAGTAGTAGCGGAGGCTCTGATGCTGAGTGGCATCATCAGGTCAGCGCTCATGTCTGGCACACTGGGGTCCACATCCATGTCAAGAAGGTTGAGGCCCCCGTCAGCGTCATCGAGCACATCATCGATACTGATGGAGGCGGGGGCTGTAGTAGCGGGGTGGAATGCATGCCTTCCACGAGCACCACTGTTCTCGCCTAAGATGGCCTGCATGTCGTCGTATGGGGGCCACCCTTTGTTGCGCAAGGGGCGCATTGCGATTCGTGACTAGCTCAATGTTAGTCAATGTTGCGCAATATATTTAATAATGACATACCTTTGCTGCAACATATGTATCCCAAACGCTCGCAGCAGCAGTGCCCTCAATTCCAGCTCCCCGCACATTGTCCCAATGGAAGCCAGACACGTTGCGGTACACCTCAATTTGATTGAATGTTTTTTTGAGCTAAACCGATCTCATCAATTCATGGTCGATCAATATAAGATAACATACCGAGGTCCACTTCGTCTTGACCATCTTGCCCGTCTTCGGTGGGCCTATTGTCTGAATCGTACCATCGGTGTTGATAGCAGCTGCTGCACTGTTGTAGGTAGGCATTGAGACATTTCCGCCATCACCACCTGATGCCCGATTCTCAATCAGGTGGTGAAGCAGGACTTCCACCTCCGCATCCTGCCAATGTGCCTTTGAACTGTCAGTCTGCTGTGTGACCTCTGGCTGAGCCATGAGAACTGTCGTAAAACTAGCACAGATAGCCGCAAGTGCAATAACGCTAGTATGAAGTCTTTGTCGTCGATGACAATCAATAAGATAGGGATGCATGGTAGATGTACAGGTAGGAGATGTTGTACAGGTAGGAGATGTAAGGTTAGAAGTCCGACGTCTGGGACGCTTCAAGCCGAGAAGCCTCACCTGACATTTGCCAAACCTCGGTCAACATCTCGTTGCCGAACTGGCTCTAAGTAGCCCATAAAATTTGCTGAAATATTCAAGACTTCTGTCATATCCCGCGTTCCGGACCCGGACCTATCACACTCATCATTTCCGGATTTCCAGATCCGGCCGACTTCTATGTATCGTCCGGATCCGACCCGCGTCTAACTTCCGCGCCTTATCCCTTTGGTATTTCCCTTATCAGTTAGTACGCTTTATTTTCCGTTCCTTATTCATTTCTGTCTTCATTTTACTAAGTTCCGATAGACTAGTGATAGTCGTCCCATATGTTTTCTTCATAGCTTTACATAGCTTCGCACTGCACTTACTGTTCTCCGTTATGTCCTCAGTAGCATATAAACCCCTGTACAATCTCTGTAGTTTCCTCAGTTCGAATATCATCTTAGACTCTGCTCATTCTCTCCTCCGTCCGACTTGAGTTTCTCTCTCGTCGACCTCCGCTCGTCTTAGGATTGACTCCTATAGACTTATCACCTCTGCCTCTACCTTTGGTAGTCCTCCGCTGTTTCCTTTCTAGTTTGGACTTCGTCCGGATTAGTCTTATCTCTTGTTCCCGAACGTCCACCGGAATTCCCGCGCATCGGACATCGGACTCCGGACATCGCCCGACGCCCTCCAGACATTGTCCGGTAACCTTCGGACATTGTTCAACAGCCTTCGGAAGTTAGGGGCACGTACTCGGGTAAGGGGCGCAGCGCACGAGCTGAAGCCAAGCCCTTCGGATCCAGCCCTTGAGCACGTTCTTAACAACTTCAAGCTAATACAGACTCTGAGCCTGCTACTCCTGCCAAGGACTGCCAAGAATCTATTTCCTTTCTCATCTCGCTGCTCAAAATGGGTTCCGTATTTGACATTGATGTTGCAAAGTCTCATGCCATCTGTCACCTCGACACTCATCCAGATCTTGATTTGACAACAAAGCTCGAACTTTGCCATCATTTCTGAATCATTTCTTGGCTTTCTCCAACATTCAAAGCACTTGTATCCAAACCCATCCAAAGCCTTGATCCATTGGGGTTGGGACAGATTCCAACTCGTATCTTGCATGCTCTAATTCAAGTCAAACACTGGATCACCACTCACAGATTCACACTGGCAGCTGTGCCTCCTCCTGCAATAGCAGGATTTTCGTGCCTCATACCAGCAACATGTGCCTTTGAATGGGAGTTAGTTTGGAAGGAAGGGCCAGCTGAGATGTTGTGCCATCCAGACATCTTCTATGCAGGTCGTGATATCCTTGCTGAGCTCATATCTGCTGATCTGCCACCCGTTTGTCAAGACTGTGGGGAGATGTCCATTTTCAATGTCCAGGACAGTGGCAGTCTGCTTATGGATGAAGCTTTCATTGACGAAATCCTTGGGGAATTGAAAATGTGCTTGATGGATCAGTAGTTCATAGTTACCAGCACTTTCAATTAATATTATAGTGTTACATGAAAAATGTTGAAAAGTATGTGCACAATCTTTTCCTGCTTGTGTGCGTGCAATTTTTGTGTGCGCATGAAAACTGCGTGTGCACGTGATTTAATTATTGTCCATTTGGCCCACCGTATTCATCAGTGACTGATATCTTCACATCTGAACCAACTCTCATTGTGCTTGCCAGTATCATACTCCTGCATAAGCCATGCCTGAATTACATCCTGCTCCTGCATCCACAACTGACACTCAGAATTCCCTGAATCAATACTGACCCCTCACTCTCACTCTTGCAGACATTTCAGCTACAATGTCAATGTCTGCATCGCGCATCCGAGCATGTGTCTCCCAATATCAGTTGTAGGTTTCAAACAACAATGTTCCTTCTTTGGCTCGGATCATGCACTTCAAAGCCGGGTTGCAATGGGAGATCACTGTAAGACACTGATGACTCTGGCGGTTAATGCTGACATCCCCGACAGACTTTTGTGACACCGATCCTGCAGTACTCAGCTGCAAGGAACATCATTTCGGTTATTCCCAGCCTGGTCGCTCACATTCTTTAGTTGGTTCCCAGGCACACCTGGAACATGGTTCCCCGTCAGGATGAAACCTCGTTGTAATTTCCGGAAGTTCCTCCGGAAGTTTCCCGCACTCATCCGGAAGTTTCTCGCACTCGTCCAGAAAGTCCTTCGGACTTCACTGGACTTTCTCCGGACTTCATTCTGAAGTTAAGGGCACATACTCGGGTAAGGGGCGCAGCGCACGAGCTGAAGCCAAGCCCCTTGGAATCAGTCCTACCCTTTGTGCATGGTCTTAACACCCACCCGTGTATGTGATAACAAGTACCCTCGGCATACCCGTCTATCTGATACCCACCTACCTTGGTACACCCATCTACATAATATCCAACTACCTCAGCCCATCCATCTATATAATATCCATGTCCATTGGCCCACTCATCTACTCTACATATTCCCCACATGGGCCCACCCGCCTCCATCGGGAATAATATCCTTCCTAGCCCATCTGTCATAGTCGAGGATATTTTTACCATCAGCCCATGGTCTGTTGGCCTGTATCATACGGGATATTATGTACGTCTGTTCACTCGTATAATACGGAGATTTGTCACTGTAGTATGTGGACCACAGACTTGTACCTGTTGTAGGTGAGGAATGTAAAGTGATGAAAAGCGGGTGGTGTGAGATGCACTCAGATGGTCCTCTGTGCACAAGCTAATGTTGGCCCAAGGGATTGTTCTAACAGGAACAAAAAAAAACATATGTATATCATTCATGAGGAAATGTCAAGGTGTGATTTCATAGAATAAGACTAAGACCAATGAAGATCAGCATCTGGGATGCTGTCTATGAGCAAATATTCAAGGCATGTTCTAATAGAAAAAAACACGTGACATTCAACAGGTTTCAAACCTGTTGTACTTCAATAGAAACAGATTTTGATTCTGTTATGACAACCACTTGGCTAAACACAACTCTGACGAGCTTATAAGTAAACCAACCATGAGCATATGTCAAGGTGCATTTTTATAGAAAATGAAAATTATCCTTGGCAGGTTTTAAACCCACACAGTCCAAGAGAAACAGATTTTGACTCTGGTGATCACTTGACAATTTAATCTTTGGTAGGTTTTGGACCCACACAGACATATTTAGATTCTGTTGTATTGACTGCTTGGCTGAGACCAGTTAGATTCACTTCCAATGAACTCATTCAGAAGTGAATCCTCAAGGCACATTTATCTGCATTTTGTGAGTTCTTTCAATAGCATGGTTGCTGTTGATTCTTTTATCCTGCTTTTATTGCAAAAGACATCAGACTTCTTCTGGAACTCTTGATTTGAAGACCTGTTTACCTAGCAATTGCTCCAAAAAAGTGCTGATGGCAGACCACCATGGTGGGCCCATGATGTTTGTGATGTTTTGGTGTCTTGGTATTAATGTCTGAGCCACAAGTGATAAATGACAATGGAAGGATCACATATGATTGAGCCCAAGAGGGATGTCAGAAATTAATGTCTGCATCCAGTGTGAGTGCAACAAGTTTGAAACTTGTCAAATGTCGTATTTTTTCTCTAAGAACATGTCTTGAATATTTGCTCATAGACAGCATCTCAGACATTGATCTTCATTGGTCTTGGTCAAGTTGTCGCCAGATTCAAATCTGTTTCTCTTCAACTGTACAGGTTCAAAATCCGCCAATAACAACATTTTTATTTTATGAAATCCAAAATGGTGGAATGTGATGAACCACGAGTTAATGCTAAAGACACATTATTATACAGATTAAAAACCTGCTTAGTTCAAGAGAAATATATTTTGACTCTGACAATCACTTGAATAAGCACAATAAAGCATCTCAGCCTTAATAGATTTGTATTTTTCCTAATTCCCCAGGTTATTAGGATCAAACTTCAAAGTTTGATGTGTAATCTGCTCTTTTTCTTCTTCAACCAAGTCAAGACCTTTAGAAAGAATGATATGATTATTTTACTTATCCTTCCGAGTTTGCATCAAGATTTTGGTCATATATTGAACTCTGCATCAAAAATACACTGTGTGATCCTTTCATTGTCAGTTTTCACTCATGGACCCCCCGTGGTGGTCTTCCATCAGCACTTTTTCAGGGAAATTATTAGATAAACAGGTCTGGAAGTCAAGAGCCCCAGCAGGAAGTCTGTGTCTTTTGCAATAAGAGTAGGATAAAAAAAATCAATAGTGACCATGCTATTAAAAAGCTGACAAAATTAGGGTACAGTTGAAAAGTCGATATTTTTCAACAGCTGTTTATAATACCTGTTAATAACTGTTAATAACACTGTTGAAAAGTCATTGTGTCCCAAGGTCTGTTGAAAATTATGAATAAATCCAGAGCATATGGGAACATTTTGAATGAACTTCTGAGGCTCAAAAAAGTACAACCAGACCACCCTCTCACCGCCAACCTTATTTTTGACACCCTAGCTATGTCATTCCCTGCACCCGAATCTCTCACCCCTGCCAAGTTTCAGGGTATACTTGAATACTTGCGGATATTGCTACAAAATCTGCCAACTGCCTTGCCTGTTGGTTCTGCTTTCACATCAAAATACCTTGCATTCTTGACATTCATGATTGACACTGAGCTGCTAGATCGTACTGGAAGCGAAATAGGGGCCTTAAATGAACAATTCAAACAGATTTTCGGATGGCAAACCCGAACAACAGGATCTGGAATTGTGGCAATTGAGGAGCGAGGAGAGCCTATTTGCACAGTGGTTGATGTACTTGAAGACTTTCATGTCAGATACCCTACAGATAATGTTATCAAGAAGTGGGCAGTTGACATTGGTATTGAAGTACAAGAAGTCTACAGTCAACACAACATCGAGGTACAGTTGCGGTGGTAATTGAATGAAATGAATGCCGTCACCTGACATTTTTCGCAGCTCCCACCACAGGGCACAGCTACAAAGCAACAAAAGCAGACATTGTTAGACTCTGTGTTGAGTACATCCAACACTGCAGTCAACAATCCCCAGACTGTTTTTGAATCATCCACGAGTTCGAGGGGCTGTCCTGTCCATGCCCTAATGCAAAAGCTCATCATCAAGACTACCATCATGTCCAAAGACAGCAAACCAAAGGTTTCCTGGAAGTGCATTTTATGTGACCATTCGCAAAAAGGGTCGCCACAGGAGAGTTGTGTTCTGAAGCACTCCGCAACCTGCAAGAAGCTTCCTGTACATCTTCAGAACGAAGCTATCACTGCTTTGAAGGACACATCACTTGGGGCACAACTCATTGAACTCGATGATCAGTGCAACATGGCACCATCAGTTGAGATACAGCCACATATGGATGAGCCACCAGCAAAAAACGGCCTAAAAACCAGGTGGCTCTGAATGTTGCACCATACCGTGATGCAGGGCGAAAGAAGTGAGAGGAGGAACATCAAATTTTCCAGATGAAGGCTGATCATATCATCATGTGTCTCATCTGTGTACATGGTTTTGTTCCAACCATCATCGATTCTGATGAATGGAAAAAATTGATGGTGCATCTGAACCCACATTATCATGCCACGTCCTGTAATACATTCACCAACAATTATATACCAAAAGAGGCCGTCTTCGTTCACCAACAGTAGCTCAAGGAGTTGAAGAAGCAAACCAACCTAACACTTACATTTGATGGTATAAGCACACGAAAACCACAGTCTCTCTATACTGTGCACGTGACTACGCCAGACTGGACAACACACTTCTTAGATGACCATGAGGACTCTACTGCCAGTCACATAGCTGCATGGGTGAAAGAGAAGATGCTTGAGGCCAGTATCCTCTATTGTACATACACCGTTGCTTGAACTAATGCTCCAGTTCTTCAACAGACTATCTATGAGGTCAGAGAGGACAAGTGGGCTGCTATCTGCTCAGATAGCACAGCAGTTACCAAAAATGCTCGACATGAAGTCATTGATACAATCCTGACAACATTAGACTTATGTGATGCTTGTCATCATTTGCATAATACCATCAAGAATGTCACCCTATTACCAGAGTTTGAACAGGTATCTTATCTGAACTTTGATTGTCCTAGATTCACGATTCATGAATAATGCTAGATGCTATCACTACTCAAACCCATCATCAAGCATTTTAGCAAGTCCACGATCTCCGCCGCACATCTTCGAAAGGAGCATCGGTGTCATGCATGGTATGTGATTCATACCATGTCAGATATATATAGAGAGTGATAAGGAAGATATGAGAGACTGTCTAGCCCTCTGTCACTGAGTTACCTCTCTATTTTTCCTCTATTTCATTGTCTTGTATTTTATTTCTCAGACTTATTTTACCTTGTATTTTTTAGAGCATGTGACCTTCTGTTTATTTCTCATTATTTATTTTTATTTGGCTTCTTTCAGCCACAAATTTGTTTGTCAAAGTTTTGTATCTCTTTGTTTATGTCTGACTGTTTTTTACTTTTATTTGGCTTCTTTCAGCCACCAGATTTTATTTGTCATCACATCATGTGACTGGGAAATAATCTGGTTTGTAACATTATTAAAGCTGATTCAACATGTTTAGTCATGATTGGTCATGCTTTGTAACAACATTTAAACATGACTCAACATGTTCAGTCATGGTTGATCATGCTTTGTAAGTTCTTTGTAAGACACTGAACTTTGTTTGTAATGTACTTAGTAAGAAGGATGATTCAGCTCACCCAAAGGCTTGGTTTGTCAGCTTCTGCATGACCAATCCCTGAGAAGAGTCAGCACCTTTCTGTCACGCTTTGTAATTTCTTTGTAAGATTACACAGTATTTACAATGTATATTAGTAAAAGCTAATTCATCACCTGGTTTGTAAGCCACATTCTTACCAATCCATCTGACAGAATCATGCTTAGTAAGGGGATTCCAAAAGGTATAAAAGGACCCCATTTTCACCCATGAAATATAACTTCCCATTTTTCATTCTTCTCTCAAACTGTGTGAGAGTACGTAAGAATGAAAGTGCAGGCAACGTGCCTTGAAGTAAGACTAAGACACATCATTATTCTATTCTAAAGTTATATACTACCTTACAGGGGTTGACTATATAACTTTCGTTATCGTTATTTTACTCTAGGTTATATACTACCTTACAGGGGTTGACTATATAACCATCGAACAGCTCTCATTCTAAGCTTCACGTGTATACATAAGACTCTTTCTTTCAACGGAAAGTGAGACACAAATCTAAGGACGACAAAGTTGAAACAGACTTTCATAGGTTGAAACACGACCTACTAGGCTGAAACAAACCTAATGAATTATCCAGAACACAGAACAATCCACAACACTTCGTATAAGACTACACAAGAAGAGGACAACAAACTAAATCCTCCCAAGAACTCACCATGTTACCTCCCACGAAGTAGAAAAATCGGAGACCGTGGACTTAAGGACTGGCAAGAAGTCTTCACCATGTATAATTGTGTTGTCATTATACACAACTTTTATATAAGACCCTTAAGTAACAAGACATCGGGTTGATGACAACGACGAGACTGTGAAGGCCCTTCAAAAGATTGGCAAAACAAGGTTTGGAACTCACTGGTCAGCTGTAGCATCACTTGAGCAGTGTCTCCCAAATATACGAAATCTCATGGAGAATCGTGAGGGAAGATCATGCGGTGAATAAGAGTGCTCTATATGAAAGTTAATATCAAAACATCTTTAAGAAAGTAGAGAAGACATACATCAGAATCATGTTCTTCTTGGACTATATCAACATCGTCTAAATAGAGGCGGTGATACCGAGGAAACTCCTGATGGTGTATCAAGATTGCCTGGTACAGCTATCAAAATGTGGTAGAAGGGAAGAGTGCCGAGAGTGACTGACGTCGAGTTCCACACGCTTCACTGATCGATAAGGGGAAGATAGTGACCTTCTGAATTTCATTCAGTAAGTGCAAGGATGTTTTTGGACCTTCATTGGGATAGAAGTAAGTACTAGTCTCGAGGAGCGAGAATAATTAAAAATAAGGTTTGAAGTAGTGGTGATGCAATACTGATGCCGCAAGTGTCTTAAACACTGGGTATGGACGTTGTGGGAACTTATTCAATGAACTGACTCACGACGTGAGATGGGTAGCTTGGAGTGAATCTGCTTGAATCAGTGTATATTATAAGAGACAATTAAACAAAGTGCCCAACTTGAATGTCTTAGTACGATCCTTGGCCTTTGTTGTGGAAGAGGTGATTCAGTCATAGTATGTTCATTGTTCTAGATTTCCCTTTCATTTCTCCACCCAAAGCCGGCGGTATCTCGTGCTTAAATACTGTAGATGTACTGTGTATGTGTTCGAGCAAAAAATATTCAAAACCCAATATCTTTTCTTCTGTGCTTTCCACTATGAACTGCCAAACCGTCCAGGACCGTGACGCTTTGGAGGACCTAACTCTTCGTGTTCCAAGTTCTGAACGCCACAGAAATCAATTCTTGCATAACATCCTGGCTCTATCTGACCGAGTAAGTGGTGCGATCTTCAATTTGGAGGTGTTGAATTTGACGGAACCCCACAGCTTGATGTCGGATATTCTGAGGAAAATCAAGTCAAGCATATGCTCGACGGTGTTTCATCTGTCGTCAACGAAGTAAATATTAGACTTGAATCGGGACTCATGCTAATGCACATACAGCTCAGCAAATCTCCAAAAGAGGTTTTACCACTTATCCTTCTCACAATTGGCATTGCAGCAGTCAGTGATTCGATCGACATTGAGCTAATGATTTACTCACACAGCTACAGCTAGAAAAGCGCTTCAGGAATTCTTAGGAATGGTAGGCACCAAGAAGTTTGTTGATATAAGGGGAATACTTTGAGCACTACAAATAATATTTTTGTCCAGTAATGACTCCAAAATGTAACCTTTTGAACGACACATTTATCTCACCACTATACAACCCAATTTAACTCTGTGATGTCCATGAAGTTAGCAAAGCGATCATTTTTGATGCAAATCATCATACCCTATCAAGTGAAAGTACCACACGACAGCGTTCATCCAGACCCTCAATCTCTGTAGGACAGCTAGCAAAGTGGCTAATGATGTCAATGCTTAAAACAACCAATTCATCAGGTTCGAAATCATCCAGGCACAACCGGACATCCATTGCTGCAAATTGTTGATAGGGATCCAGGGCAGCCTGCGCATCACTGAGCTCTCTGTACCACCTGACAACACAGAAGGTATCAGTTACGTTTGATCCTCTGCCAGGGCATGTATGCAGAAATATCTTCTGAATCTGCGCTGCACACGAAATCGAGCTTCCTGCAGTTGGGCACAACAGGACCTGGCTATTGCCAACATGCCGCCATGCAGGAGTGAGGTTCACGCCTTTGAACTTGATAGACCTCTTAGGCACAGCGTGCGGTTCCACTTGAAGATACTGAGAGACTGCAGGCTTGTCATAGTGCTGGTATTGCATGCCTTCATCCAAGGCGTTGAGACGTGAAATGAGACTTGAGTACACATCAGGGGACAGCTTGATGCGTTTCTTTGTTGTCTGCGCTGGTGATTTGGGGCCATCGACGCTAAATGCCATGGCGCTCAGATCCTGATGTAAAGTTCCCCTGAAATCTGCACCGAAATAATCCAGTGCGATGTGTTGCAAATCTGCGATGGCCTCAGGTAAGCTGTCGTGCGTAAGGGAAGCTCTGAGGTTGCTTCCTCTACAGAATGACTTCATGAACGATCGTTCCATTTGCCCTCCTATAATGACATATCAACGAACAATGACAGTCATTTTAAAATACAAACACCAACCAAGTCGGCGATTGGTTCTGGTTCGCTGTATGATTCCATTGAAGCGTTCAAAAGGAAAGGCCCACCAGCCATGCACAGGCCCAAATGAACGTAAGCACTCCAATAAGTGCTGAGTTGCATGGTTGTTATTGGTGCGCATTGCGTTTTCTCCAAATAACTTGATGGCGGTCTTCAGATAATACATGTAGTAGTTATCTACAAGCTGAGTATGAGTCTCTGACGTGGAGTGAGTAGTTGCCCAGCAAACAGTAATGACAAGTGAGAGGTAATTTCATAAAATTGTGTTGTTCTTCTCCCCCGCGCTGGATGTGCCCCACAACCGGCCAAGGGTGATGACAAGGTTGACCAAGCAGACAGTGCGCCATTGGTTAGCTTTGATTTTGCCATGGGAGGCACTGCCAAAATTTGCGGGTGCGCGTTTCAACCATGAAGGCATAGTTGTCTTAGCCATGTCAGACCATACCTTGCGCAAAATTCCTCTGTGGAGGATGGCAGGATTGGAAGTCTTGGCTGATGCGGTAGAAAAATCAGTGATTGGATGAGGAAGCACAGGAGGACAGCGGATTTCAACCTGCGGATGTGTTTTGCACTGGCATTATTTCAGAAATTGAGTATCACGAGATGCCAAAGGTACTCACCCACTCAAGCAGTGCATCAACGTAAAATGACTTTGGAGTCCTCGCTCTCTCCACACATCTGGCGGAATTGACATTCAAATTTATGCGTGGGGTAACATTGTTAGCCAGTGCCAGGGACGCAATGTATCCCCTGCGGAAGCGCATGAGACCTGTTCTTGAGCCTTTTTTGAGTGCATCAATGACGCCATCAAGCTGAGCCTGTTGTTCTTCTGGGATGTGGGGCCGGACATGCTCCTCTCCTGGTGGCTGAGCATCAGCATCGATGCCTAGGACACGCTGAACGTGATGTGCCAAATCCCCCAGGAAAAGATTATGCATTGAATCCAACACGGTGAATCGTGTCGGGTCCCAGTATGGTAAACGCAAGAGTTCCAACCAACGGATACTGAATTTGTTGTATAGTGCGTCCCTTATTTCTGTTGACAAGGCATCTCTCCACCGTATGGCAATGGAAAGGTGTTCTTGATAGGTACGATGCGACCATGTCGAGACATCGGTGTTCCAGATATCCTTGAATGACTGAAGGCAAAATGAGCAATATCTACCCGAATTGAAGCCGTGACCAGCAAATCCTGCCGTTTTCCGTGCAGCTGGTAGATCACATACAAGGGGGATGATAGCGGCTCGAATGACAGCACCAAAACCACGATTAAGCAAGCTCTTCATGAGAGTAATCCCAGGACTCCAGCAGCACAGCATGTCATCTATAAGCGGCCGTAGTAGATGGTTGAGGTGATATTGGTAAGGTTCACACAGACCTGGTATGATAGCGGCCAAATACACATTCTCTATTTTATAACGCAGGTGAGCGGGTAGGTTATGGCAAATGAGGTAGATAGCGCCGATAGAAGTGCTCTGTCCACCCTGCTTGGACCCAAACAGATTAAACCAGTCGATGAACATACTGAATATGAGATGTAGCTCCGATTGTGGGTTGTTGGCCTCGCCAACGAATGGTCTTCCATCAGGACCCTTTAAGTTTCGAAGGACAGCGCCATCCCAGATATCATACATACAAGAATCAGCTGGATTGAGAGACCACCATACATCACAACAAATATCCGGGCGCCTGAAAAGCCTGCCCAGCCATGATTTGAAAGGTTGGTACATATACAAGAGCCGTGGCTTGCGCTCTTCGCCAGATGTGGATTCGTCAAAGAGATTTTCTCCGCAAGGCTTATCGGATGGAGTTTCACGAAATGAGCATCTGTCAGGGATTGTATCACCCTTTTCTCGACCCTTCGGCAATGGGCCGTAAATGCTATGGTCCTTTGGGCAACAGACATACTCCTCTATGTCTGGATCAATGTCGATCATCTCCATAGCAGTGCGAATATCAGTTGGCCAGTGATCAGAGGCGGAATTTATGGTTTCAGGTAGATGTTTGTGATCTTTTATGTCGTCTTTAATGTCTCGGAGAAATCGTCAAAGACTTGAAGTGACTATACGACCCATAACGATGAGGAGAAATGACGCATTCTGCCGAGAGAGAGAGCCAAGTACATGGAGGAGTACGCCAATGAAAACACAAGACAGAAGCGAAACCGCCAAACTTTGAAGCGGGGCGGGTATATCGAAATGATGAGCTATTGAAAGTGTTAACAAACAAATTTGTCTCCGATTTTCGTACTTACAGTTATCATGGACAATGGGAAGCTGGCGCCGAAACTCCGTAGAAAGAACAGTGTTACTGGTTTTCTGGCGTAGCCGATTCTCACAAACAACCCTGTCTAAGTAAGCCTGGTGATCTTGAATTTCCTGCACCAGTGCCTTTCTAGTTGCCTGCACCAAGTCGTCTCCATCGCAGACAATAGCGTCTACCATTTCCAAAAGGTTATCTATGGCTAGCTGGTGCTTCAAAAACCGGCTAGAAACTGACGGATCCAAGGGGCCCGGGGTGGAGCTGGAATTTGAAGAGGGTTTTTCGACAAAATTAATGATGATAGGTGACGGCAAACGATGAATATGAGTGTGCAGGAGTTCTCGCAAAGATTCGAGTGTATTCATTGATGCACCTAGTATCGAAATCGATCATAAACACAGTACATAGCATAGAGAATTCCAGACCTACTGTGTGACGTTGAGATGCCCGACACATGACTACTGACCTCCAGTCCCTCACTCTTGGATGTCCCTCCATCATTTGTGAGCGCAGGCTCCAGTGGTTGGGCATTTCCATCTGACAGAATATCATGATATAAGATTTGCGATGACATTATATACAAGTACCTACCATGTTGTGACCGCCCTGTGATGAAAGTGTCCTCGTCAGTAAGCTTTTCAGCAAAAGTGGCAGCAAAGAATGTAGCATCAATATTATTTTGCTTCTTTTTAGCCTGGTGTATTACTTCTTGCTGCTCATGAACCTGGACGCTTGGCAGTGGGAGGAGTCTTCCTGGTCGCTCAACCTGGGTAGCGGGGTCTTTGTGTCGTTCATTGATGCAGCCAAGAACTTCACAGGTGCAAGGCTTTAGTTTGACCGGTCGCTTAAAGCTCTTCATGATACAGTTCATCGTGACGAGTCATAGGGCAATCCAGTAGTGGGTAACCCCAGATTTCAGAAAAGGAACAAATTCCCGCAAAAATTAACAAAGGCGTTAACCAACTTGAAACACGGATTTATAACTTGGGCGCAAGATAATTGCACAGCATATTGTAATCGTATCTATTTATATGCCCAATCGTCATCGAGTAGGTCATCATCCTCAGCGACATCCTTGACACACCACCTGGGGCCTGACACCGAAGTGTCAAGCTGGATGAACCTACTGCGTCCCTCTGGGGCCCGGGTACTAGGTATAGCGTAGTAAATGTGAGTCCAAGGATAACTCTGATCCAATATCGATACGAACGTGTTTGCATACAAGTAAGAATGCCTATTAGAGTCTCGATAGTAGTATCATCCAGCTGCGACTATATGATAGTAATTGGAATCCTTTTATAATGAAATACGACTTACTGCTTCAAACACGACAAAGATATCATCCAACAATTGGATGCCCTGCTGTCCTTCTGGAGGCATACGTACATGGACTCTATGGAACTGTGATGTGAGTTTGAAGCCTCCTGAGATTATGTGACGTACCACGTTGATCATCACCACCACAAATCTCAAGAAACCTGGAGATCAGCGAGTTAGTTTGTCCAAATACATGACTGTCCTCATTATGTGATTGAAGTCTATGTCATTCGAATCAGAATCAGAATCAGAATCAGAATCAGAATCAGAATCAGAATCAGAATCAGAATCAAAGTCTATGTCATCAGAATCAAGATCTATATTACCATAATGGTTTATGTGATAAATCACATACAGTGTGAGTATGGTATTACGCAAAAATTTAGTGAGTTTTCTCTTACCTGCGTCTTGACTGGCACTAGTATGCAGGGGTGGCGGCATGTTGGTACCATCATCTGGAGTAGCCTGGCAGCTCATTGATATCAGCAGAGATCATGAATATATGATGTGGGTTTGCCCTGTGTGTGCGAGATCGAAACTGAGTGAATCGACAACCATTCAATGTTGATACGTACCATATTTTATAGATTCAAGAATCAAAGGGGATTCATATGGAAACGAACAGAATACAAAGAGACAAAAAACCATTTTAAGGTATAAGGCGATCACAATGATGATATTATACTTAATAAGAAAGTGGTGCCACTCATTCCTGCATAAGCGCGTTGGTGAAAATGTGAAATGATGCCGAGAGATTGATGCTCAACAGACCCTCGAGGAATAACAGGGACGAACAAAAATGTGGACACTTCTTAGTTGAGCTTTGAATGCCCTGGAGTGATAAGGCAGCACAATAGAGCTTGACACAAGATGAATACTCTCACCTATGTGAATGGATAGGTAATGCCTTCTATCAGCATGAGTCGAGCTCGACGAATTAACCCACTCACAATCTGTCATGTAAGCTGATCAGTAGTGTCTTCCGTGAGCATCGACGAAGAATGAACACACAATAGTTAACTGTGTGTCACTGTTTTATGAGCAGTGGGCCAAGTGCATCCTCATTCTAGCTTGCGACTGTCCGTGGACTTGTGGAACACCAACGTGTCTACCATGAGATACTCCCCGGCGGTGCAGATACCAGCTGACCAAACCAATAATAGAGAAGTGATGCAAAAGAAACTAATCGATTGCCCAATCTCCAACCACGATCCTGTGTCATATGTCAATTCGATATGATCTGACCACCAGCTAGCCTACTCACCAGTATCCGTGATGTTCCGGAAAAACGTCATTGTCATTCCTGATCGAGATATTAGTGATCAGTGCAGGTCAAAAGGAACAACCCACCATCAGTGAGCATCAGAGCAATGAGGAATAGTGAGAAGGGTGGTAGGTGGAGTCTTGCATTTAAAGTGGCAAAAACAGCTGATAAGATCACATATGGAGCGACGATTTTGAATATCTGGCAATATTTCAGGCTTCCAGTGTAGAGACTCATGCCTCTCATGGTGTGATATGGCACTTTTCACTAGGGAGTTCATTGCACGAACTTGCAGCACCATTCTGTATGCTACCTGCAGCTATTCCTATACGAGGCGCAGCTTTCCCGCGCAATGCGCGCCATGCGCGCACCATTCCCGCGCTTTACGATGTATACACGCGCGCTTTCCCGCGCTTGAGCGCCCTATAGCGCCAGCCATCCAGAAGCATCCATCCACTGTCCACCAAGCTCTCTAGTGTGTATATTCCCATTTCTCTTATTTACATATCATTCCACCTCTATTTTTACCATGGACCCTTACTTACATATATTCTTACATACCTACTCGGTAGCACTTCGGCTCCGCATGACAGCGCTTAGGTGCCATATAAGCGCCAGCAGTACATATTATTAGGGACTGGACCTTTGGACTTGACTTTTTACTTCCCACTTTAGTTTCCACTTTACTAGACTTTACCTCTCACTTTATTTACCACCTACCACCTATCAGAATATAGTAGAAATCTACTCCTTGGCACCAAGCAAACTCACTCTTACTCTTTATCGTCTCCGCATACACGCGCGCACTTTCCCGCACTTCGCGCAGCACGTGCGCGCACCTGCGCTTTCTCGCACTTCGCTTCAGCGCACACTACCAGATCCTTGCTGCACTCGCTTCCCCTTTAGGGTCGAATGCACTTGTCGTCTCAGGTATAGCAGACTAGGCAATGCACAACCTTACAACATTCACAGATACAGTCTGGAGCATTGTTTTGTTCCTCTCTGTATTGTTGTTTCTACACCGGTATGCGAAGCAATGTTTGAAAAACCCACCAATAACGCTGCCATCAAGAATGGATTAAAAATTGGCACCAGACGGTACACAGGTTCCAAGTAGAACGATCTACAAGAGGTGAGCAGCAGAGCTGGATCAACTCGTCGGGGAAACTCACAAAATTGAAGCAACACTGGACATAGTCGATCATCAACATCAGCAACACGAGGGTCAGTCCTGTCCATCACTCACTTGCCGGTTCCAAAGAAAGCCACCTGAACGAAAAACAAGAAAAAGAGTGCTATTCTGATATGGTCAGTGTGAAACTCGTATCCTTGATTCTGCGACACGGCCCCAGCTCGATTCGACTGGACGATCGTTTCGACTTCTATCCACAAGAGTAAATTGCATGTGAAAGCGGCATAGAATAGGCCTTCAACACTGATCGAAAGAATAACGAAACAGACGCCAAAGCCCAGGAAAAGTGATATGATTCTTGAGGTTGGAGTGCTGTGCTGTGCTTTAGAGATGAATGGATATATCGACGATATAGCTGAGAAGTATAAAAGTCAGATGAATAACTGATGTCAGTTGATTAGCAAGGGTACCGAGTATGAGCCATGCTGAAGTTTGGACGTTAGAGGAAAACTGACGAAACCAAAAATGAAAGTAGATAAACAGACTCAACGCGATTCGAACTTGGTAAGATTTGACATGTGGAAGCGTCAATTATGACTCAGCAAGTAATTTACATAAGCACTGGTCATCCGGAAAATGCCGGAGACACTGTAAATAGATCGCTGCCTAAATCTGGGCGCTACTAAGTACACTTCGCAAGGTGATACAAGATCAAAGGTCAGTCGGTACACTTACTCATTCTCAATGATCGCTGATATCTACCAGTATGAATAACCACATCGGCGCAAATGTCAGAGGAGGCGGAAATGGAAACAGAAACGAAGGCAATCAGGTGCGTCGAGTAGCCATTTGTCATTTGCTTGCTCACCAAAAATCTCTGGCAGATCCCTCAGCACTTATTGCCACACGCACAACGGCCTTGCGACATCTCATTCAGGATGGCTGACGTGCACCTAGTGAGTAATGCACGTGTTCACGAATACGATATTAACACCATTCGAGGAATTATTATACATTACATGGGCTGGCGCGCGAATGCGCGTGCGCCAACAGATATACCAACCCGACGTACCGCTACTTCCCCACCTGCCGCCTCTGAACTGGTCAAACAAAGTACGGGCGATGATGGTATTGTGGATCGCAAGGGAACATCGCATGTCTGAGATGGAGATCCGAGAACTGGAGTATCTCCTAGGACTGAGAGGCACGTGTTAGTGCTTATAGGTAAGTCGTTTTGAAACCAAAAATTACAAATGGACTTACCCTCGTACAGAGGAAGGGCATCGAAAGATCCAGAGGTGCTGAGAGTGGGATTGAGAGTAGCTGTCATATCCCGCATTCCGGACCAACATCCGATGATGTTCCCACGCCTCATCCGGACCTCCGGACCTCCTGTCCATGTCTCCAGACCCAATCCTCTATCTGTCCGGATCCCTGTACTCCTGCATCTGATATCCGGACGCCAGATCTGATATCCACATCTCCGGATCTCCGGATCCGACCTATCTGTCATGTCCGAACCCAAACCTTAAATCAGCGCCCATCCCCTTATGGTAATCACCTGTCTCCGGACTTCCGAACATCCGGATCCGACCCACGTCTATCTTCCGGATCCGACCCGCGTCTATCTTCCGTGCCTTATCCCTTTGTATGTTCCTTCTTGAGTTAGACTTCCTCATTTTCCGTACCTCATTTCATTTCCGGCTTTATTTTCCTATGTCTTCATCTCCGTCTTCATTTACTATTTTCCGATAGACTAGTGTTTGACTTTTCTACATCCTCTGTCCACAGCCTCGCATAGCTTCGGACTGCGCTGACTGACTCTCCGTTAAGTCCTCTGTAGTATATAAACTCTGTAGAATCTTTGTACTTCCTCAGTCTGAATATCATACACATATTAGTCCTCACACTAGCCTTCACCCTAAGTCCTCGTAACAGTTCTAGTCCTCCGACTTAGTCATTATCCATCTCAGGCCTAGGGAGGAATTCCCTAGGCCAGAGCTCCGCTCCTCCGCTCCTCCGCTCCTCCGCTCCTCCGCTCCTCCGCTCCTCCGCTCCTCCGCTCCTCCGCTCCTCCGCTCCTCCGCTCCTCCGCTCCTCCGCTCCTCCGCTCCTCCGCTCCTCCGCTCCTCCGCTCCTCCGCTCCTCCGCTCCTCCGCTCCTCCGCTCCTCCGCTCCTCCGCTCCTCCGCTCCTCCGCTCCTCCGCTCCTCCGCTCCTCCGCTCCTCCGCTCCTCCGCTCCTCCGCTCCTCCGCTCCTCCGCTCCTCCGCTCCTCCGCTCCTCCGCTCCTCCGCTCCTCCGCTCCTCCGCTCCTCCGCTCCTCCACTCATCCACTCATCCACTCATCCGATCCTCCATTCCTCCGAGTTTCTGGAAGTTCCTCCGGAACTTTCCCATGGTCCTCTGGACCTATTCTGCTTCGGACTTTGTCCTTGCAGCCTGTTAAGACCATGCACAAAGGGTAGGACTGATTCCAAGGGGCTTGGCTTCAGCTCGTGCGCTGCGCCCCTTACCCGAGTATGTGCCCTTAACTTCAGAATGAAGTCCGGAGAAAGTCCAGTGAAGTCCGAAGGACTTCCGGAGGAGCGTGGGAAACTTCGGAAGGACTTTCCGGACGAGTGCGAGAAACTTCCGGATGAGCGCGGGAAAGTTCCGGAGGAACTTCCGGAAATTACGATGGAGTTTCGTCCTGACGGGGATATGTATAATGGCTACTCAGGACTCGTCCTGAGTAGAAGGAAACAGAGGAAAGGCTGCAAGGACAAAGTCCGAAGCAGAATAGGTCCGGAGGACCGCGGGAAAGTTCCGGAGGAACTTCCGGAAACTCGGAGGAATGGAGGATCGGATGAGTGGATGAGTGGAGGATCGGAGGAGCGGAGGAGCGGAGGAGCGGAGGAGCGGAGGAGCGGAGGAGCGGAGGAGCGGAGGAGCGGAGGAGCGGAGGAGCGGAGCTCCGGCCTAGGGAATTCCTCCCTAGGCCTGAGATGGATGATTACTAAGTCGGAGGAATAGAACTGTTACGAGGACTTAGTGTGAAGACTAGTGCGAGGACTAATATGTGTATGATATTCAGACTGAGGAAATACAGGAGTATCTACTGGGGTTTATATACTAGAGGCAAGTCTGTGCAGATCAGTAAGCAGAGGGGTAAGGCTATGTACGAGCATGTGGAAATGTATTAGAAAATAAGACGGATCATAGGAAATGAACTCGGAGATGAAATGAGGTACGGAAAATGAGGAAGTCTAACTCAAGAAGGAACATACAAAGGGATAAGGCACGGAAGATAGACGCGGGTCGGATCCGGATGTCCGGAGATGAATGCGTGATAGGTCTGGGTCCGGAACGCAAGGAAGATAGACGTGGGTCGGATCCGGATGTTCGGAAGTCCGGAGACAGGTGATTACCATAAGGGGATGGGCGCTGATTTAAGGTTTGGGTTCGGACATGACAGATAGGTCGGATCCGGAGATCCGGAGATGTGGATATCAGATCTGGCATCCGGATATCAGATGCAGGAGTACAGGGATCCGGACGGATAGAGGATTGGGTCTGGAGACATGGACAGGAGGTCCGGAGGTCCGGATGAGGCGTGGGAACGTCGTCAGATGTTGGTCCGGAATGCGGGATATGACAGTATCCCCCCTTTAAGGCCGAGCCCTCGAGGCTGAAGACTCAGGAAGTCCCGAACGGAGATTGCTGGTATATGGCAGAGGACAATGATGGATGGATTCCGGAGGATTGGTTCCTATGAGCTGAAAATCTCCGGAGGTTTCGGAAATGTTCCTGACACACACATGGTTCATTATGATGCCTAGTACTTCATCTGGAAACTGGACGTCATAGACGGTGGTGAAGAATGGTGATGTGATGTGAGGACAAATAGGTTTCCGGAGTGGAAGTCTGGAACACTTTGAGGATAATTCCGAAGGTGACTGGAAGTCCGGAAAATGCGTGGGAAAATCGGAGGAAGCTTTCAGAGCGGAGGAGGTTGTATCAGGACAGTGGAAATGCAGCGAGTGCAGGACAAGAGGGCAAGAGTGGATGCGATGCAGGCCTCTTTCTGATGTGACGGAGGAGTCCTGTGAGACATATCTTTCTCCATGAAGCAGA